AATTGGTCATTGATTATCTGAATTGATCCCAGCACTGACCAGCATTGTTGCTGTAGAGACATGAACTCTGTTTTCAGTAACTGAGCCACACTGACTGTGCCGTTATTCTCCTTTCTCTCATTCCTCCCTCCCCGCCTGTATTCCGCTCTCCCTTTCCTGTTGATGCAGGTTGTATGCCCTGTGTTGCTGGTGACCTCGGTGACAGACAGTGCCCATCAAGTTGGCACTGGAACAGAGAGCTGACAATGAGAGCTCTGGCTGTGGGTGTTTGCTGGCCAGCATAGATGCCGATATGCCCCGGTGGTCCTCATCCTGATGGACCGAGACACGTTCTCCCACATCCGTCTGTGGTGCCCACGCCCCTTTGGCACCTACTCCCAGAACAAAGCAAGGAGCCCAGGCTCAGGGGGCAGCGGTGGAGGCGGTGGTGGGGCAGGGTCCTCCTCCCTCTGCAAGGCTGAACCCTCTCCAGATGCTAGAAGGACTGTGGACGGGAGTGAAGATGGGGGGATGATAGTAGGGGTGCAGGAAGAGAATGGAGAAGAGGACGATGTGGGCTCAGAGAACACTCCACCAGAACCTGAGCCTGTTTCCAGCTCCCTGACGCAGAGCCAGGCCCCTCCTCCCTCTTCAGCCCCTCCCTCACCACCCTCCTCCGGCTCCCAGATGGAAGATGGCCGGGTGCTGTTTGACACCTGGTATGTGATTAAACCAGGCAACACCAAGGAGAAGATAGCCTTCTTTGTTGCACACCAGTTCAGTGGAGCAGGCCAGCCCAGACCCAGCGCCATGAAGGTAAGAAGGTGAAACAGAAGTTGCAGCAGCACATTAAGTACGATTTGGTTACTTTTCAGCTAAATAGAAATAATTTTACTTCTCCACAGGTTAAAGGTAACTGGGCAACTGACTGCAGTAAAGCCAAGAGAAGAAGACGATGCTCATCCTATGACCCACCAACTCGCTCCCAAGCCTCAGAGCCTCACCTCAGCCATGACTCCTCCCTTGCGCCTCCTAGCCCTGATGAGTCACTTTTAGGAGGGGCAAATGAGACAGACCTGCTGTCGGTGGCAGAGATGGTTGCCTTGGTGGAGCAGAGGACCGCCATGGCCCTCCAGGGAATTGTGGCTGCTCATGGGAACCAACACCACCACCAGCTCTCTACTACCACTCACAGTCAGGGCCTTACCCCCCACCAGCACACCCTACTCCGGGGAACAGTGTCAGACCCGACTCCTGTGGTGTTTGTGTCAGACAGTTCCAATGGCCAGCCCTCCAAAGAGGCCCAGGACTCATCATCTCCCATCCAGACAGACCAGGAGCTGGAGGAGCAGCAGGAGTCATTCAGGGTAGCCCAGGCCATCGCACACTTTGAGTCCCAGAACCTGGAGAATCGGCTTCATCTGGGCGCTGGTCCAGCAACAGACTCTTCTAATCCAGACAGAGAAAGGGAGTGTAGGAAAGGAGGAGAGTCCAGCGTTGTTACCCCTCCGCCACCCCCGAGCCGGAGTCATGGTGAGGTTAGGATAGCTTTTAGAGTGTCAAATCTGGACCCGCGGTCTCAGTTGGAGCCCGCTGGCAGGTCCCGCTGTATGTTTATGAGCTGTGGTGGTGGGGGTAACCAGGCAGCAGCCAGGGCCAAAGAGAAAATCACCTGTGACCTCTACCAGCTTGTCAGTCCCTCATCTAGAGACCCTAGTAGTCTGCTGCTTGCTGCCACAGCTGCTGCCCCCAAACCAGATGGAGACCTCCATCACCCAGACAGGCAGGCCTGTGGCAGCCCAGATCCAACCCAGGAGCTTTCCTCTGGGGAGAAGAAAGGTATGGGTAGGGAGCGAGTGACTGGCTTCCATGTGGAGGTGGTGGTGACGGGTGCTGTGGACCAATGTGTGTTTTATGGCAAGGACAGTACAGAGAATGTGCAGGAGGAGACCGTGTGTTTTGCTATGCCTAGTGGTGGAGGGAGTGGAGGAGGTGTAGCCAGCTCCACTGACCCTTCATCAGATGATCCCCCTCCTGGTCAGCTCTTCTTCCTTCAGCCCCCACGGGGCCCAGAGGAGGATGTAAAGGGACCGGGCACTGGCAGTGGGTCAGGAATGTGCTCTTTGGACTGTGCCAACAACAACGGCCCTGGGGCAGGGATGGGAGTAGGCTCAGGGGAGCGGGCACCTCGACCAGATTCTCCCAGCGGTGGGGAGGACTGTTCAGACCCTTCGCTGTGTCGCCTCTACCGCCACGTGTCCCATGACTTCCTGGAGATCCGCTTTCAGATTCAGCGCCTACTTGAACCGCGTCAGTACATGCTGCTGCTGCCCGACCACATCATGGTCAACATCTTCAGCTACCTGCCGACACGCTCGCTGGCAGCCCTCAAGTGCACCTGCCACTACTTCAAGGTATTGATCGAGACATATGGGGTGCGGGCAGTGGATTCACGCTGGAATCAAGACCCTCTCTACAGGGATGACCCCTGCAAGCAGTGTAAGCGGCAATATGAACGCGGGGATGTTTCCCTGTGCCGTTGGCACCCCAAACCTTACCACCACGACCTGCCTTATGGACGTTCCTACTGGATGTGCTGCCGGCGTACAGACAAGGACACGCCAGGCTGCCGTGTTGGGCTCCATGATAACAATTGGGTCCAGCAGCCTGCTGATGGCTCTCAGCCCATTCGCACCAAGAGGGAGGACAGGAGGGAGGAGGCCAGGTAGAGAGGAAGAGTACACCTCACACAGACAAACTCTCATCTCCTCCTGCTTACCTCCTTTGTTCTCCCTCTCATTGCTGTTCAGAGGATGAACAGAAGACATGAGGAGTACAAGGAGGAATCGACACTCCGGGACCGTTTTTGTTTATCTTTACTCCAGCACTCCCATCTCGTACTTGTCCTCAGTGGATGGAGGTTGAGAGGTAAAGAAGGAAGAGAGGTGTGTCACTCTCCTAGCCTTTTGTTTGGTTATTTTGGTTTTTTTCAAGCCCTCCAGAATCCCTCTCCACCCACTATGCTCCAGAGTGGCACCTTTTTAAAAAGTTTGCATACCATGGTTGGGGTCCTCTCCTGCTGCTGTCAGTCAGCTCTCATTCTGCCTCTTACTCACCTGGGTTTCTGTCTAACTCCGTACATGGTTGTTAGGTAATTCGTGTGAAAACTTTGCAGTGTATTTGATTGAGATTAGCATTCATAAAGTGACATAGAAATGTAATGCCCTAGAGCCTGCTTACTGTTCCCAATCCTTGTTCTGTGGTCTGTGTTGTATCACAAACTCCCATGTTAGCTGTACAATGGTGCTTCAAGGAATGAGCTGTACAGAGTCCAACAGATGTAAAAGATTTCAGTGGTGGAATGTTCAGCGTTGCTATAGAAATGTGATTGTATAAAGCAAACTTGATTTTCCGTTGTACAAGATCGCCATTTGTACCTGTCCTATGCCATGCGTTGCTATTTCTCTGAATGTGCTGTAATGTTGTACTATGTTAATTAGTCCCCTGACAATGCTGCTGAAATCATTGCCTGTGTCACTGATGTTAATTTTGAAACAGACATGCCATTGGTTAATGACAGGCTCAGTCTCACCATACTAGCCAGTCTCACTGGCCCCGGAGACCTGTTCTTGTCATTGTTTCAGAGTGGACCCTAACCTTGCTGACCAGCCATAAAGAGAAGCCAACGAGTACTTTCTGGTTTACAGAGAATAATGGGAAATGGACTTAATTGATTAAGACCAGTGAGATTGAATGGGATAAAAAAGAGAAACTTGATGTCACTTTGTATGGTTTGATTGCTTGTTTGCCGTTTTGTTTTGTTTTTTGTTTGGCTGTTTTATTGGGTGTGTGTGTGTGTGTGTCAGAGAATGTTTGCTTTTATTCTTGAGGACTGTGTTCTCCCTGTATCAGTCTGTCACCCTACTCGGCCTGCAAAGTTTTTTTTTTTTTTTTTAAATACACCATCTTTGTTTTAACCCCCAGCTCTCTTCCCTTCCTCCTCCCCTCCGTCCTCCAATTCGGCAGAGGGCAGTGTTTGTCAAAGCCGTCATTCATGCTTCGAAGCGGGTGAAACCAACTACCGCAGACACTCTCTACACCAGCTTCCAGCCTTAAAAGCCCCCTACCTCTTACCCGCCCTGCAGGAGATTGAAGCGTCGGATACCTCACAGATGATCAAGAGTATTGGGAGTTGCACAGGACCCTGTAAGCGGCTAGATTTCAGATCCTCAATAGACTCCATCCAGCTCTACTGGATCCACCCATAACTCTTTGTGTGGGAGTGTAAGATGAACAGTGCCTGGTCACAGCTCTGACTCTTCATTCTTGGAACCCCCTCCCCTCCCCTTTCTTGCTGTTACACTCCCCCACCCCTGCAAGCTGACAGACTGGACATTAAAGAACTGATGTGATGAATGATGCTGAAACTCTGCATGGAGGTGGGAAGATGGTTGGGTTATCATGGGAGGACTCTGTAGGTTCCAGACATGTACAATGCTATTGGGAAATATCTGCTTAAATAAAAAAACAGAAGTGATGATTAAAACTGGAAATCTGAATCACTACCTGGTTTGTGTGGTGTCTGATAAGTAAAGACCAGGCCTGCAACCCACGCTGGCTTTAAAACTGGTATTTAACACTAATTATTGACTAAATAATCATTTGGCTGTATAATGAAAACAATTCCTATCACATCTTATCAGAGCTGAACTAACAGGCAAACGCAACAGCCCAATGTTTTTAACGGCTTTAATCACCTAAATAGCTTTACTTGCCTGACAATCAAATGATATACAGTATCTACTGCCTGATGAAATGACCAAGCACAAGTGAATACAAATTAGAAAGTGCATTGACCCAGGAGAACTAGAAATGCACGTTAGAATATTAATTGGTGTTTAATGTACATTGCTCTTGTGTTCTCTTCTACAGTGTGTAGGTGGGGGCTGTAAAATGACTCATTTTCATCAATGTCTTGAGCCAGAGTTTGAGAAGAAGTCAGAAAACTTTGAAACCATGTCTTAGTTTGATTTGAGGCTTTATTGGGTTTACATTTTACCTGGCTCCCAAATAATACCTTTTATTTCAGTGCTGGAAGCAGGTGCGGATTGACTAGTGATTGAATCAACGTGTAACTGTATACAGTAATGGCCTTCTAACCTGATGAAAACATTTTTATACTGCATTACACATGCTCTTTAAAACTGGAGCAATGCAGTGAAGGATCACAGCTTGTAACGCTCTACAGAGAAGTGAGACTGTAGGCATATTTGCATAGCTGCTTATTTTGAACCTTTTTTAATTGCAAAAACATCTCGGATTTGCAGTGACAAGTATTTGCCAACAGATGGCAATGCTGTTGTATATTGTCCTAACAAAGTGATTAAATCCAGTCACATCAAGATACCAACTCACATTTTAACACCCACTTTCAACTAGCATTAATATTACTGTTAAGCATAGTAACCCCACGCAAAAACTGCTACAGCCATCATAACGAGAGCATTAGCATCCACAGTGGACTTCCACACCGGGTCCTCGCTGATGTCAGGCAGGTTCTCCTGTTCCTCAGGTACGTCTGTCTCGTGGCTCTGGGAGCCACTACTCGACCCACAGAACCGACCAACCAGGTGACAGATCCCAGACTTTTCTTCCTCTTCAGCCACTGAGAGGAGGAGGAAGGCGTTAATACTTTCTATGAGTGTACTCTATGTTCGTTCCATTTGTCTGTCTTTGTGGCTGCTCCTTCCTTTCTTTCTTACCTGCACCACTGCTGTTCTTCTCCCTCCTCCTCTCCCCAGCCTCTCTCCGGGCTTTTCTCCCTTTCTCCTCGAGCTCCCAGTCCAAATCCTCCCTCTCCTCTTTGGAATGACGCAGGCTAAACACCAGCCGATGGAGCTGAAGGGAAAAAAAGAGAGCTAAATTTCATAAGACATAGAAACAGACACCCTTTCTAGCTGTTCTAAATGCTGCTTAATCTGCAGATCAGGGAAAATGTTTTCATGTCATGGAACCTAAATAAAAAAGTTTTTTCTTTGACTTAACACGACACAAACTTAGGTCTTATTGGTTTGTGTGGTGTCTGATAAGTAAATACCAGGCCTGCAATCCATGATGGATTTAAAGCTGTGACTTAACACTGATTGATTAAAACATTTGCCTGTACAATGACAACAATGCCTATCACATCTTATCACAGCTGAACCAACAGAACGGTAAGATATGGGAGGAGAAAAGCAAGCAATAATTTGCTGAACCACTAAATATCTTTACGTGACTAATGACAATCATAAATGACACCGTATCTTCTTCCTGATTAAATGACCAAGCACATGTTACTAGAACTTAATACGCCTGAAATACAACCTGTGGGGCCTTAGTGAACCAGTGCATCTGTGAGTACAGTAAGTAAGAAGTCACTTACATGTCGATCGTCTATAGGCTGGGTGCAGTAACTGACCACCAGCACCAGTACTGACGTACAGAAGAAGAGTATGATTGCAAAGTGGAGGTAATGGATCCCACACACCAAGAAAGGGCAATGAGAGGGGAAAATACAGCTGCCAGTACCAAACCAGAACTCGGGCAACATCCGACACAGACCCATCACCAGGCCTCCTACCAGGCCCCAGAACGCACCCTGGGGGTGAAAGCAGATGCTGATATGATTTCACTAGGTGTTTCACCGATGTTAATGTACATTATATACAATATACACTCACCTAAAGGATTATTAGGAACTAATACTGTGTTTGACCCCCTTTCACCTTCAGAACTGCCTTAATTCTACGTGGCATTGATTCAACAAGGTGCTGAAAACATTCTTTAGCCCATATTAATAGGATAGCATCTTGCAGTTGATGGAGATTTGTGGGATGCACATCCAGGGCACGAAGCTCCCGTTCCACCACATCCCAAAGATGCTCTATTGGGTTGAGATCTGGTGACTGTGGGGGCCATTTTAGTACAGTGAACTCATTGTCATGTTCAAGAAACCAATTTGAAATGATTCGAGCTTTGTGACATGGTGCATTATCCTGCTGGAAGTAGCCATCAGAGGATGGGTATATGGTGGCCATAAAGGGATGGACATGGTCAGAAACAACGCTCAGGTAGTAGGTGGTATTTAAACGATGCCCAATTGGCACTAAGGGGCCTAAAGTGTGCCAAGAAAACATCCCCCACACCATTACACCACCACCAGCAGCCTGCACAGTGGTAACAAGGCATGATGGATCCATGTTCTCATTCTGTTTACGCCAAATTCTGACTCTACCATCTGAATGTCTCAACAGAAATCGAGACTCATCAGACCAGGCAACATTTTTCCAGTCTTCAACTGTCCAATTTTGGTGAGCTCTTGCAAATCGTAGCCTCTTTTTCCTATTTGTAGTGGAGATGAGTGGTACCCGGTGGGGTCTTCTGCTGTTGTAGCCCATCCGCCTCAAGGTTGTGCGTGTTGTGGCTTCACAAATGCTTTGCTGCATACCTCGGTTGTAACGAGTGGTTATTTCAGTCAAAGTTGCTCTTCTATCAGCTTGAATCGGTCGGCCCATTCTCCTCTGACCTCTAGCGTCAACAAGGCATTTTCGCCCACAGGACTGCCGCATACTGGATGTTTTTCCCTTTTCACACCATTCTTTGTAAACCCTAGAAATGGTTGTGTGTGAAAATCCCAGTAACTGAGCAGATTGTGAAATACTCAGACCGGCCTGTCTGGCACCAACAACCATGCCACGCTCAAAATTGCTTAAATCACCTTTCTTTCCCATTCTGACATTCAGTTTGGAGTTCAGGAGATTGTCTTGACCAGGACCACACCCCTAAATGCATTGAAGCAACTGCCATGTGATTGGTTGATTAGATAATTGCATTAGTGATAAATTGAACAGGTGATCCTAATAATCCTTTAGGTGAGTGTATATTTAACATGATAATATGTTGTCATGTATGCATATATCATCTCACCGTTTCATTGACCCTTTTAACAAACACAGCCAGGAAGAAGACTGAGGCGATAGGCGGAGCCAGATAGCTTGAGACTGACTGGATGTAATCAAACAGCTGACCGCTCTGAGCCACCTGGACCACTGGGATCCAACAGATGCTGATGGCTACGATGCACAAAACCCAAACTCTAGTGAGGAGAGGAAAAATTAGAAGTAGATATGTGAGGTTGGTGGTGCTTTTACCATTGCATGATGAAAAGACTTAAGAGTTGGGGAAATGCAGTGGATTTAGATGTCTAGAGACATCTAAAGGTAGTTAGAGGAAGCATTTCTTTACTGCAACACTGGTCTATTTACCTGCCCACAATAATGAGCTCGCGCTCGGTGGCCTGTGGTCTGATGCGAGTCCAGATGTCCATGGTGAACAGAGTGCTGCTGCTGTTAAAGATGGAGGCCAAAGAGGACATGAGAGCAGCCAACATCACAGCCAGCATCAGACCTCGCAAACCTGCAGAGAGAAATGGCAGGAAGGCAGGCGGGTCAGTGAGAAGATCAGAGTAAGTTGGCCAAAAAGGTGGAGAAAGTGGAAGGTTGGGAAGGGATGAGAAATGTAAGGTCTACTACTCTTCTTTTTTAAAGGTAGTCATTGTTATGTGTCCTCACCATTCGGCATGATTGACACCACCAGTTTAGGGTAAGCAATGTTGGAGCAGCCCACCTCAGTGCCACACACCCTCTTACACTCCTCAGGGACAACACAGCCAACCTCATCTGCAGGTAGATGGAAACAAACAAACAAACACACACACACACACACACACACACACACACACACACATTAAAGATCCAGATTGGTTTATGTATGTCAGACATCTCTTAACAAAAGTACAACCATGGGCTTTATACATGACAACGTTGAGTCAACACACCTCTGACAACCCATTTACCAGTATAGTATCTACTGCAAAGGTACTATATTGTACTCTCTATTGTTTCTTTTTTTGTCAAATGGGATTTGACAGAACAAGTGTAAGCCTCAGACCTGGATAGAGGACTCTGCTGATCATACCGGGGAACACCATGAGGAACATTGGTAGCAGTTTGAGGTACCCGCACATGATGCAGCCAGCCTTCACATGGGTCAGACTGCTAGCTGCCAAGCAGCGCTGGACTATCACCTAGAGAAGAAAACAAGGCGGGATAGATTATTTTTTGTTTGCACACATCATGTGAGAAATATTTCCAAAGAGAAGGGCAGGAAATCGAGTTTAGGTTTATCGAGTTTGGGTTCAGAGTTTGTGAGGAAACACCAAAAAGTTCCATCAATTATTTTAGTGAAGAAAAGTTGGTTTGGAAATGTTTTTTGTAGCTTTCATTAGATTCAGATGCAAGTATAGTAAACATGTTATAATGTATAGAATAAAAAAGGTAATCAGTCCGCAGTCAGTAAAATAGCATTCCAGCATAACAAACTGCAAATTATTTGGATCAGTATTCACATAACTGCAGAATCTGAGGAAGGATCAATTATGTGGTTACAATCAAATGGCTCTTGCCTGCTGTCATTCTGCTGACATAGTGGTGTTTTGTTTTTCAAGTTTCTTTACTTATGTTGTATATGCCTGTGATAAAGGCCATATGCAGAAACACACTGGTTGTTAAAAATTACACAGTTTTCTTTGTATTACAAATACAGCTGGAGTCCTTTCCCTAAGTCTTCCTGATCATTCCTGCTCTTTAAAGATAGGCACAGTTGCACCAGATCATCCGGTTTATGTCAGCTGGACTTAAGTAAGGCTTTATTTTTTAACTTAACTGAATAACAGTTATGTGACTTGCAGTAGGCCTACTGAGTCAACTGTACTGTACTGCCCTGCAAAGGCAGAGGACAGTATCTACAGAAAGGGTGAATGTGAGAAACAAGGGTTTGAAGGCTTTTGGCTAAACTGTGAAACAGAAATTTACATTGTAAAACCACAATTTTGTCACTAACTTTAGGTTTAAAAAAACATTTCAATACTGCACTGGACATTCTAAAGGGTGCAGGGGGAAAGTACCCAAAAAATAAATATGTTCTTGTTTCTTCTTCAGCATTCTTGTCCATTTGAACTAATGAGCTAGTTTATTAAAGTAGCCTTTAATTAAACGGTCTGTGCAAAGGTAGCTTATCCACATAGAGTCAGAGGCAGCAGTTACTGTTACTCTGCTAAGCTAGGCTAGTTACCTTTTATCTGGTGGTGTTACGTCTTTCTCCATTATGGTTAGATTTAACTGCTGCATTATTTGTGTGGTATATAATAACAAATTCAAGTACTAGTGTTGTAGTCAAGACCGCCCAAACAGAGACCAAGTAAAGACCAAGACTTTTAGGGGCTGAGACCGAGTCAAGACTAAGACCAGTTCCCCATATTACATGAAACACAATAAAATGTGGAACAAGATCAAAGGTACTTCTCAAATTGATCTGAAAGATCCACATTCCCATAAAAACACCTGCATACAAATACTCAGAGCTGAAATCATCGTAAGCATCTTATCATCTCATATTCAACACTCCTTTTCCAAGTTTACCATTGCGGTTAGGGGTGACAGTCGTTAACGGGAACAATACATTTTAAATTATTTTTTTAAGTTTTACATCCAATCAAATTTAGGATGTTAACATATAAATCAGACAATGCAAAAGCAATTTACTGATAATCCCAAAGTTATGGTCTTGACTGGTCTTGAAATAAAATCCCAAGTACTCAATGTCCGAGCCCAAGTCAAGACCGAGTACAAATGTGGTCGAGTCCGAGACGAGACAAAGACCATCAAAAAGTGGTCTTAAGACCAGTGTCGAGTACTGCATCACTATCAAGTACTAAGAAAATAAAATAGATTTTTCAAACACAGGAAACAGGAAAAAAAGAGCAAAATTAGCTCTAGCTGTTGTTCTTCTATTATTATTGTGTCTTTGGCATAATTATTTTATATTATATGGTAAGATGTTATAAAAGCAAAATTCTGGTCTTAACTTATTTTGACCAATTAAGTAATTGGTCAACTGCTGTTAGACTGAGCAGGATATTTACCTGGTCTGTACACCAGTACCAGCCTCCCACTATAGCAATCCCAAACACCACTCCAGGCCAGGGCAGGTCCCCTGTGGTTGGGTTCCTCAGCAGGCTGAAGGCATCCTGTCTGGGTGTGTAGCACTGAGGGGAGATGTTGTAGCGCTGGGGATCCATGGAAGAGAAATTACTTGGCGTAGCAGACCTGTACTGGTCCAGCAGAGCGCTGTAGCCTCCTACTTCAACAAAAGCTGTAAGTGAAAATAAGAAAGAGTTCTTTGTGATTTAAAGGGTCAGATCAGACACATTACAGAAAGGCATAGTTCTTCCTGAACCTAGTGGTGTCTTTTGAGTGTAATTTGACACTCGTGTCACCTCCGAATTCCATGCGACACCCTTAAATTCGGGTAGCAGCATGGTATGGTATGGATTGTTGTGTAAAACAAGACTGTTTTATCTAAAAATAAATAATAAAAAGAACATTGTATTTGTTCTCTGACTCAGTTTAGTAGTCCAGTGCTTTGTTGACTGATACTGTCCTAACAGAAGATATGAGTCAGCTGCTGAATCAGCAGTCTTCTCAACGCATCACCAATTCACAAAAGGAGGTGGCTGTTTTTCCTAGATTTTTCATCCTCCATAGGTTTCTCTTCCACTTTTAAGTAGTCTGCCTCCTTCTTTGACTTTGTGTGTAATCTAAACCAGGATTAGACTGATATACTACATATTGATCTTTTATTAGAAAAAAATGAATAAGGTTACAGAGGGTGGTTGTATCAACTGGAAGTGTAGAGTTTTGTGACTTTGCAGTGGCAGCATACTGTCCTCTGCTGAAATGAATGATTACCAAACCTATTTAATCCCTTTCCTGTTTTGAAGCTGTTGTGGAGGGACAGAGTCACAGGCCAGGAGGGACAGACCAAAGCTACAAACCGTGTGTAGTGTAAATGAAAGTATCTATTGGAGGATTGAATATGATGTTGTTCCATTTGCACTTACAGAAACCGGTGAGGACGAAGGCCCCAACAATGATGACAACAGTCTGAACCATGTCAGTGTACATGAGAGCAGCCAGGCCACCTGGTAACACACACACTCACACTTCTTAAATTACACACACTAACAGAAACCTTGACATTTAAAGGGGTACTTCAGTGATTTCAAATTGCACCTCGATATCCTGGTTTTGAGTCCTTAACAAGGGTCAAGCTCTAAAACACTACATTCCTATATTTCCCACAATGCAACAAATACAAAAATTTCATTAAACCCTGTCTGCCCTGCAAATGCCCATATCTTTCAAACTCCACACCACCAGTTTGTAACGCTGGTCATAAATTTGTAGCTTCCAAGCCCGAGTCAAGATAACCGTGTTGACATCACTATGACATCATCAGAGTAGTTTTCTCAAACTACAGAGTGCGCCCTCTAAATTCTTAGAAGACGTTACACACCTGTTTTCACAGGCTGAAACAAATCAGTTTACTTGTAGTGAGGATTACTGCCATCATGACGAGTAAACTGATCCTCACGTGTAAAAATTGTGGCGTGCCCCTTACAAAAAAAAAGAATCTAAAAATACATGCGTACCTGTAACAGTGTACAAGGCTGTTATTAATAGAAGGGTGATGACGGCCACATAGATGTTCCACCCTAATGCCTGCTGGATGAACACAGCTCCTGAAAACATATCCACCTGGAGAGAGACGGAGAGAGGGTGGGAGTGTACTGTATGCTTTTCTGACTGTGGGCTCTCAGAAAGGATGACTCACTGAGATCTTGGTGAAAATGTAGAGGAACAGAGAGATAACGGAGAGGTAGAGGCTGATTCTGGTCCCTCCAAACCTCTTCTTCAGGTATTGGGGCATCGTGATCACCTGTGAACACAGCACATTCCAACAACATGGTCATTGCATCAGTGAAAGATGGTCCATGTGTTGATGCTGAAATGATAAGCCTGAACTACTTACCCCAGCTGTGAGGTAGACAGGTACAAACAACCAGCCTAGCAGCAGCACGATGAACAGAGCCTGACACATTAAATAAACAACACACGGTAACGTATGACATGTTAATATGACATGCCATCTTCTAGTCCACTACGAGAGAGCTTTACCACGAGACACCGTAAATGACAGTAGATTCAGATGGTTTTATGCATCAATTCAGTTTTTTTTTTTAAATGAATTGGATTTGTGCACGTTCATTTAAACTGTATTTGTGCAGGCTTTGAGTATATAATGTCACTTACATTCCACTCAAACCCCCCCACAGCAATGCCACTAGCTGCCCCAGTGCCTGCCAAGCCCACAAAGTGACCACTACCAATGTTGCTGGCAAACAGAGATGCACCAACCTGAATGAAAAAAAGAACACATCATTTGCAGCCATACAGTAACATCATGCATGCAATTAAGACTTTGACCAGAAATGCACAAATAAGATATGAGTGCATAGTGAAGCATTTTTAAATTGAAATTTTTTTATTCATATTGTCACTTTTCTGTAAGGAACCACACACTTTTTAAAATTCAAAAGGATAAATCTGTTGGATAAACCTTGCCTCAACATCCTTCCTTCCCTAAAAAGTGATGAACCTTAAAATACTCCTGCCGCCTGAAAGTTCAAGCGAACTGATTTCATTGAAACAAAGCCTGACCAGGACACCAATTTGACAGTTGAAATAAGAATTTTCTAAATGTATTTTTCAAACACAGGTACTGAGCAGAGCATTTTTAGAATAAAAGTTAACTTGTCAGCACCCTCTGGTGGACAAACTATGACACGACCTCAAACATATCAAGGGCATTTCTGTACCACATGTTCATATTAGTGACCACCATATACAATGGTACAAACGAGCTATATATATATATTTATTGATCTAGCTCTACAATGAACTCACCGGCCACCAGGTCATGGTGCGCCCTGCCAGGAAATATCCTCCAACTGTCCCACGACTGGTCCGAAACATGGCCTAAACACAAACAGGGCAATTCTGTTATTCTCACTAACCAAACACATTACCTGCGTCTCCTTGTAAATATATATAGTATGTGACATAAATACTATATGGTGATATACATTTTTTAATTATACCCTCCTGATAATTAGACTCTGTTTAACACCAACACAAGTGAACTCACCCAAATGCCGACACCAATAACCATGATGAAGTATCCAACAATGATGGTGATGTCTGCTGGGTTGTTGATGGTCACTTTGTCTGATGAGAGAACCTCCATTGCTCTACTTATACCTAACTGCACTTTACTGAGCTTCCTATACAGGCAACCTGCCTTTGATTTATCTGCAGGTGTGCTTCTAATAAAGCTTGGTGCCTAAAGAAAAATCAATATGACCAAATAGCTACAAGAAGAGAAATACTGTCAAAGACCCCATAGGCAGTAAATTAGCAGTGGTCAGTCTGAGCGAGAACTTTGGCCAGCTGGGAAAATGGGCAGATTCAGGAGCTTATTAATTATTAGAGTAATTATTAACACCAAACTGTTCACTCAAGTAGTTCCACTCAGTTTAACATTTTTCATGCAGAAAAAGCCAAAGCACTTCATCAAAAGTTTGCGCAGTTGTGAAAAAGTCACCAGTGAAAGAATCATGTAAGCAAATAGTCCTTTAATCATTTGAGAGCACTGCTTTCATCAAAACATCCATTTGCCTTTCAGTTCACAAACTCATTAGATTATACAAATGGGGGGCAGCTCCACTCCTCTGACAGGACACACAGCACGTGTGCGTGGATGAGTGCAAAGAGCTTGTGTGTAGAACAGATTTACGCCTCGGCATAGAAAACATGCATGCGTACACAATCACTTTTCACATGTCATACACGTAAGCACACGGAGAGAAAGAAAAACAGCTCAAGGTGAAAATAGTTCAGAGCATGTTATTTGAAATGAAACAAGAACTGAAGCTCACATCTCTTAACCAACTAAAATGACAAACAAAAAAATAACAAACTACATTTGTTGTGTTTGACTAGTGAACTTACTAATGAAATAAAGCTCAAAAACCTTACTGGTTAAGGATTCCTGCTTCTTATTATTTTGGTCAGACACACAGTTCACATGATATTCAACAGGTGTGAACTCTTCCAGATCACCTATCCCCCCGCCTGACTCCTCCCTGCTGAGTCTGCACATGGCACTGGAAAAGACAGGAAAGCGCACAAGTGATGACATATCAATACACCACTACTGATCAAGAATCTTCTTATCGGGTATTGGGTGATGAAAATACTAATTGATTTTATGTGTTCATTGCATATTGTGAACTGAAAGTATGCAATGTATTATGCATCCAGATGTAGATTAGAGATCAGGATGTGATAATCAAGCTGTGAAGTGGCAGCTGTGTCACCGAGGACTTCTTCTGCTTGCTAGAAATAACTCGGCTGTTGTGTTAAAACATCAGCCGCTATACTGTAGCTGGGAAACTGGGGAAGTTCCACTATTCTGTTCTCAAGGGAGAACTGAGACGGAGCCATGGTAACACTTTGGAAAAATCAACAAGGCAGGGCGGTTTGACTGAAAATGATGAAATGTACTTTTGAGCCTATTGGTTGGTTGATTCAGTGGAAGGCTGAGTTCTGAGACAAACTGGTCTACAGCCTAATGTGAGGTCTTCGATCCTGTATAGAGTGACACTTTGCCTCATCTCAGTAGGAAGAGTTGGAAGAAAACAATTTTGCCAATACAGAAGCACATCCAGTATCCATCTTAATTTCCTGTTTGAGGCTGATAATGTATTTACAGTATCTAAACTGTATAAATCTGGATCGCCAATCTAAAAGTTACATCCTGTATTTAATATCTGGCCTGCAGTAATGTATAAAACTTGGATTGTTAAGAGAGAGCAGCAAGCACTGACTTCGAAAAGAATTCCCTGCCGAGTTTTATCATTTGAAACCCATTAATTGTAACGTCATATCTGACATTACGCCTTCGGTTACATGAATTAGAGTACCTCCATAATGGCAAAAATGATTAACTCCAGATTCTGTGATGCTGGGAGTCTTAAACACATTTCTAATATGATCCCTGTTTATATTTCCTGGTAGTACTGGGTCTTTTTCAGACGCAGCTGGCAGTGTTTTTGATGTGCACACATATCTCCAGCAGAAAGATCTTGATTTGATCAAAAATGGAAGAAAAGAAAAAAAAAAAAAGATGACAGAAAACATAGTGGCTTACAGGAAAACAATGTGCTTACATTTTTGGGCAAACTTTCTGACCTTTCACAAAATCAGAATTTACTTTTAAACCTGCAGTTACTTTCAGATCGAAACACATCTGCTCGCAGCTGTCTAAGCTTGTACTGCCATCCTATAGGAAGCCCCGGTCACAGCAGTCAGAGCAAAAGTTTCAAAACAACAACAACAAAAAAAACCTTTCAAATACATTTCAATAAATTAGATGCAGTGCTAATGTGTTCAGATAATCCATAACCTCCATGCTAAACACATTCACAAGTAAAGACAACTGCTGGCTTGAAGGGTTAGGAGGAAAGGTGTTGGATAGAGAGTGGTAGTGTGGACACAAGGATACTGTGAGTCATCTTTACAAACATGTAGTTTTGTCTAAATACTTAAAAGTATTTAGCTGAGTATAACAGTGGAGAAACATGAAATGTGGATTTTTCTGTGCACCGGGATACACTGAATTGTGACTAAAATGCTGCGGTCTTTATAGTCTCCAGATCTCACCCCAGTTTCACACCTATAGAAATAATATGGAAGATGGTGTTCTGGCTATCATCTTTTTAATTAATTATTTTGCATATTATCCAGCCCTGTCTGTCCCACTTCTTTGAGGAAAGACCATTATAAAAGCAATTAAGAACAGTGAACATATGCACAATTTCTACCAAGTAAAAAGACATTATCTGGTCTGTGTTCTACACATGGGCTGCCATATTTGGGATCAGTTGGAGAGATGTGACTGCCTGCTTAGTGAGACCAAACAAGGCTTTGCAAGAGTTTAGTCGAGAGATGACTAGTTCCAAGAGATTGGGCAAACACATTTTTCTTTCTATTTTGACTATTAGTTAAAAAAAACTGATGGTAAAAGTAAAAAAATGTCTACATCCAAGTGGTTTTATGAAAAAATGTGTTTACTATGATGTGCTTCCACTCAAGTCAAGTTTATCCTTATAGCCCTTAAATGCAGTTTCAAAAGGGCTTTACAGGCCCACATTAGACAGGAAACAAGGTTCAGGTAAATTAAATGGAACATGACATGGTCAGACATGTGCCAGTCTCCTTGTGTCTACACTAAACACTGCTGAGACATTCACAGCACTGACAGGGTTTCCAAACACCCTTAAAATATTAGCTAAAAATGACATTATACTTAGAGAAGAGAAAACAACTACAAAAGGCCCTCATCTCTCTCAAAGGACTGTTCTGACAAAATTAGGTCACAGTCAGGTGCATCTTGCCTGACTTCTAACCAGTTTCTGGCTCCACTTGCTCCCTGCCTGTACATTTTACTATCCCTAATCCGTTTCATAAGGTCGGTCTGCGTCCAGTCCTTTGCAGACCTACCCTGTGGCTGCACTTACTCAGATTGTGTAAATGGTCTCTTCCTTGTGTGTTCATCTCAACACCAACACTTCATGCGGTCAAGGAGGAGCGAATTCAAACCCATCCTGGAGCTCATCTCTGTGTCACATAAACAGCTGCCTCAACTTCAGTCATCCTGGTCTCTATCAAGCTAGTCAGCGGCTTTCTTGCAGTTTTCTTTGGCTAGTCTCAGTCTGGACAGGATATGTTTCTTAGGGAACTTTAAAGTGGTACATCCAAACTGGCTCACGCCTCCAGTGTCCCCAGGGAGTTTCTCACGTCTCTGGACCCAGCTGCGCCAGCCGGGCTTCCAACAGTACACACTGTCATAGAAGCGTGAACCGTTTTCCCCACCCAGCACATAAATCCTGCGTTTCCACCTGGCCACACCCCCAGCTGCAATGCGGCGCGGCAGCCCGGGAAACACCACAGGGCTTGGGGCTCGGTCGCTTCCACCACCTGCGCCCCCCCGCTGCTCCGCGGTGACCATCACCCCTCCCCCAGTCACCTCCCTCTCTACTCCAGAACCCCTGCCCTCTCTGAAAAACAGTACACGCCCAGTGGCGTCTAAAGTCTCCAAATTGGTGTAGTTTCCATCCAGGAACTTTGTGGTATCCCTCATGTATCCTCCAATGGCACAGACTCCTCCACGCACTGCTACTCCTCCAGCGAGACAGGTGGCGCCTGAGTCCAGAGCCACACGTGTCCAGCAGTCTGTTAGGGTGTGATAAATAAGCACCCCAGAGTGAACCACGGCTCGGTTCTGTTCAAGTGTGGTTCCACCCAGAAGGTAAAGCCGTCCACGTAACGCTGAGCAGGCAAAGGCGCGCAGAGGGAGCGGTAACCGAGGCCCCGGAGCCCACTGAAGTGTAGTCAGCTCCAGGGTCTCACTGGAGTCCAGCAGGGCTGAGCGGTTACTACCACCCAAGGCATAGAGTGATTCTCCACAGCCCAGCAGGCCTAGCATAGCCCGGGGCTGGACCATCGAAGGCCGCTCTATCCAGCGGTCCAACACTGCATCATATTCATGCACGGCTGCAGACACAGAGCCTGTCCGCAGAATCCCACCTGCTACAAACAGCCGGTCACCTACAGCTGTACAGCCGGGACTGACCAGCGAACCCAGCGCTGCTAACTTCTCCCACTTCCCTGTCCGAGGATCAAAGCAGTCCACCGTGTAGTCTCTTGCAGCTAAATTTTCATCTTCCCGAGGTGTCAGGTCCACACAGACAATCTTTTTCTCAAACATGCCCTCTCGTGGTCTCAGAGGCCCCCCAAGGCCCTCACCAGCAGCAGCGGGCCCCAACTCCTGGCTCAGTCTTCGGCTCTCTTCCTGGGATAGCAGCCCAGGACGCAGGTGGTGAAGCAGCGCCGGCATGTGGGCGTAGCGATCCAAGGGCTGGTGCTCTGCCCAGCGGCGTGCTGCGTCGTAAACCTCCGCTTCAGAGTCCACCCCCAGGCGGTCAGAGCTCAGGAGGCTGCCTAAGGTGCCGTGGTCCAGCAGGAGGAAGTCTTTCTGCCGGGCCACCCGGGGGAAGTGCTGAGCTACCAGCCGCAGGGAGGCACGCAGCAGCAGCTGGTCGTGGTGAGAGCGAGCCAGAGAGTACATCCCCAGGCAGTTATCCACTGAGAGGTGCTCAAATAAAAACCTTGAGGAATAAGAGTAGAGAAAAACAACATGTGGAGAGGAAGAAAGAGGGGAAAACAGACAGGGGGAGAAGATAAATGAGACAAGGGAGTTTCAAATCCAGAAGCTGTTAACTGTTTTAACTAAAACCTAATGTCAAAGTAAAAATATAGCCACCTGAATAGTAACGTCCAATGAATAAGGGTGTAAGCTTGATTATCTTCCACTTTTCTACAGCAGACTTACCTGGAGCACAGGTCCTGAAGGGGCATGACCTGAAGCCGGTTGGCGGCCACAAACAGATCCTCAGCTGTGTCCAGAGAGAGCCCCGCCTCACCGGTGTACACAAACTGGATGACAGTCTCCATGACAGACGGCGTCACTTCCTCCAGTCGGATCTCAGTGAGGCGAGACTCTACCAGAGGGCTGGTGAACATGGCCCGAAAGTACGGGCTCACGGCAGCTAAGAGGACTCTGAGGGGAGAGGAGTATGGACGATAACTGTTCATGTGGAGGATACGTAAAGTCAAACAACAGTGCTAAGTTTTTTGACTGCACTTAAAAGGAGAAGAGCTGACAAATCCATCCTTCACCTCTTTGACGTCCAACACAGGCTGCAAACAGCTTTCTAAAAAAATAATAGCAACTTCATCACAAGTCACATTTGCTTTGTATTCTGGTGGTGTAATTAGCATTAAATTAATCTGTTATTTAACTAGAAGAAAATCAGGGGTAATGCTGACTGATAAATGCTTTACATCATTTACTAAGTAAAAATATAAAATATTTGGGGGGTTATAGTTCAAAATATTCTCTAATTCATATAATTGTAAATGAGACACTTTTTTAATTATAATACAAGACTGAAACACTGAAAAGCTATCCATAAACTGAATAGTCAAATATATTTGTTAGCTGCAGCCCTGGCTGTAATGCTCTTCTTGATTTCTGAGCAACAAGATTTCCTGAATGGGTTTTTCAGCTTCTTTGTTGGATGTGGCAGCCATACCTGTGACACATGAACTTCTTTCCCTCAACAAGTAGAGTCACATCACACAGCTGCTGAGCATCCAGGAGCTGCTTCAATCCTACAACATGGCAGAAAGGGGGAGGAGAAACAGAGAGAAGGGCGAGGACAGAAGGAGGGATGAGTAAGAATGAGAAAGAGCAGACAGAGAAGGAACAGAGAGAGAGAAACACAGGGAGAGAAAAGGGTTGGGAAACTAAATGAGTCACACAAACTCTTCAAGGGCTAGTTTCCAAATACCCAGTAACACCCTCTCTAGCTGTGATGGAAATGTGATATTTTACAGTGTTTACTGTTTCACCTTGCGTGCTTCATTATTATAGACCAGTGTTTCCCTGTGTGGTTTTTGATAATTTTATTAGGTTGCAGTTAGGTGAAGTTTCCCATGGGAAAGATGCTCAATATAGAGTTTCTTATCTGACTGTCCTTGATAGGCCTTCACTTCAGGGCAGTTGGTCCCTGCTCCTTTCCTCAAGTCACCCGTTTCTTCACCGGCTCTTTGTCTTACACTCTGCAGACTGTTTGCACTCTGTATGTCTGTCTGACCCTTTGCAAAGAATAAAACTCTTAGAAGACGTCTGGATTGGACTCTTTATTTCAGAAGACTCACTAAAAGGACATTACACAAGCCAGCTATCATTTTTCTTTCTCACCGTGTGTGATGTAGTCGCCCAACGGCGTGGTGCTGTCATCAGGGAAGTCCTCCTCCTCTGAGTCGCTGTCTGACAGAGGTTCTCCTCCTCCCCCATTCCCATCCTGCCACGGCTGGGGACGCCAGGTGACTGTGCCCCCCCGCACAGCATTCATCTGGAAGTACAATATAAACACAAACACTCATATATTTAGGCCATTTGTATACATAGTATGTTTCACGGGTTAGCATTTATGGATGCAAGGCCTATCTGTAACAGACAGGCCTATGTATTATAGATCGAGGCCTATAATAGATGTGACCCAGATAACGCGTTTCTCTGTGGGGGGAAAATCTGCTTTCTAGGCAAAGTTCATGATACAGCTTAATTTTAAGATACATAAGTATTGTTTGCTACGTATTTATTGTTGTGTGTGTTTCCATTTTACCAAAATGATAAAAAAACAAACAAACAATGTTTTTCATAAAATACTTGCTCTCATAGACCACAAACACAAAGCAGACAGTAGCATCAGTTTACCGGCAAGAAGCTACATTACCTTTGCTCTTCTTCTCGTTTCCACCGTGAAGGCTGGTTGGGTCTCACTTTCAGCAGGAATTGGTGAGGCAGGCTAACTGTGTGCAAGTACCCGGCTTTTACCAGAGGCTTCGAGAGGCTTTCCTTGTTCCCATTTGGGTGTCTTGGTCCTCCGGGCTCAGCTGAAAGGCTCGTCCCGGCCTGTGGCGAGGACGCGTCAGGCTACTCGCTGCTCATCCAGCCCCGAGCACAACATCAGGACAAAACCAAGCCAAACTAGCTTACAAAGGAACAGTTCTCCCGACATACAAAAGCTTCTCGTCGCAACACATGTACGTCCACCCTGGCATTACAAACACGCGTCCAGCTCGGTGGTGAGACAGTAAAGAGTGCAGTTTGTAGAGCCTAAAGGACAGAAAATTAGGACTGACTTTCTGGATCAGTCGGCCGCACTTGTCACGTCTGAACCGGATTACCGCAACGTTAAACTTCCGCTTCTCTGATTGGCTGACCTTTGGCTCGTGACGATTGTTTGGAGCTGAGTCGTTTTTTTCACTGGAAAAATGTAAATATTTCCCGCTCCCTCTTTGACATTATGTGACAGCAGTTGCGTAAAATAGCAGCTATAACATAAAAAAACATTGCACATTCGTTTTATTTTGATTCAAAAATATCAAAATTGTAATTTCCGCATTCATGCTGCATTCAAGGCAGATACGGCCGTTATAACGACGTCAATAGTGCTCGCTGGGACCATTAGCAGCTAAAAAAGAAATTGTAAGACACGTGAATAGTCATTATTATAATCCTACATTATGCTTTAATTTAAGTTATAATATTAAAACACGAGCCGACACAGAGTATGGTTACACGTATTCCTATACCCCTTGAATGCAACATTGACCACAAGACAAACATGGCGACTTGCATCGGCATGGTGGTCAGAGTTGGAGGGACTGCACTGAAGGTGTTAAAGCCGGTAGCCGGGCAGTGTGCAAGGCAGAGTGTGTTCATCCCGCATCGCTTTTCGCACGGAGCCCGGAGCAGTTTGTACGAGCATGTCCGTGAGGGTTATAGTGACAAGCCCGAGCTGGACATGACAGCAGTGTGCGAGGAGACCGACAAAGTCATAGCAAATGTAGAGAGCAGGAAGGGTGACCTGCGAGGGGACGATGTCAGGAAAATTGTAAGTGTTTCTTTAACTGCAAATTCAGTTCTGTTTGTGACATTAAAACCACGACAACTTTATCTTCTGTCAAAAGTATGCTTCAAGAGTTGACAGCTGGCTGTGAGGCTGCTTACAAGCAAAAACACAGACTGTAAATCAGATTATGCGATTTACCAAAGCGCTTTTATAAAATAATGTGCATATCAGAGTTTAAGTTACTTTTTGGTGACGAATGAGCTATGGTTGGGGTTGGATTCCCTCACACATATAAAAATACTCTTTTTTTTCTATAATAATTTGTGTCTGATATGGCAGTCAAAAAAAAAGGTTTAGTACCAAAACGTTAATATATGTTTGTCAGACAGTGTGCAGAGTTTTCTTTCCAAAAGTTGAACATTTAGACAGAAGATGCAGCCTACTTCACTGGAAAAGCCATTCTCAGCGTGTGTGCACTGGAGGTTTTAAGCTTCCACATCAACACTTGTGTAAGATGCCTATGGGACCACGATTGGCTCTAAATGAGTTGTGATGTCACAAAATCCTTCTTGTACCTCTTCTTGTTGAACTGGGATTGAAAGTGAGCACAGTAGAACCTCCCTCCTCGACAGCTCTCTGGTGTCAAACTCTGCACATACATCATTCAGCTCAGAGAAGCTCAAACATCACAACAATATGCTTAACACATTTTTTAATGGATGGGGGCTTTAAACTCTCAAACTGCTAAAACATTGTTCATACACAGAGGACTTTATTCTAAATTCTTGATGAAAACGTTTCCAAACATAATATATGGTCCTGCTGAGTGAATTGGAAGTCACAAGGTATTTCCAATTTGTTATACAGTAGTAAAATAGGTTTGAACTATAAGCACAATATTCCTTCATAGAAATATTGGAACAAGCAAATATAGAGTATTTAGTTTATTTTATCAGACCAAACTTTATTTGCCCATCACATGTTTCTACTCAGTATATTGAAATCAAATGTGTAGGACCATACACAAATACAGTAGGCACACAGTTTAACAAAGACAGCAAACTAAAACAAGATAAAGAAACAAACATATACAGTAGCTATTGTAAGCACTGTAAGTTAAAGGTTCAGTGTGTAATATTTAGGAGGGTCTATTGACAGAAATGCAATATAATATCCACAACTATGTTTTTAGTGGTGTATAAAGATCTTACATAATGTTAAGTTATATTTTTATTACCTTAGAATGAGCCATTTCTGTCTACATACACCACATGGAAGTCTCCATGTTGTGCCACCATGTTTCTACAGGAGCCTAAATGGACAAACTGCTCTACAGAGCGCGTTTTGTCACTACATTGAATACGTATGAAGAAGAAGTAGTAGGTGTCTGGTTTATTAGAAGTAAGAAGAGAAATTAAATTTGGACAAATGGAGGACCACACGTATTATTTCGCACAAGAGTCGACAGAGTGTGTCGGCCCCCGCAGCTTCTCCTAGGTGCCAGCAAAGGAAGGGGGGAGCCACTAGATCTTACATACTGAACGTTAAAAGGAAACATGGAAAGCTAGCAAGTTAAGAGTTCAAATTCACTGTTCTGCTGTCAACTTTCAATTAATCCCATTGACTCTGTGTTTGTCCACATTGTAGGTGTGTGTGTGGCAGGAGCTCCAGGCAGTGAGGACAGAAATCTCTGGGCTGGAGGAGCAGAAGAGACACGTCGGTGAAACAGTCAAAGCTCTAGTGGTCAGTAAAGCTTAATACAGCACCTGTTTTCTTGTGTATATGTTGTTTGGGTTGATTGTTTGGAATATGTAGACATTAATCTCAAAATCAACACATCCATCCAAAATCCCAATTTTTAAAATTATTTAATACTTAATCATTTTCTCTATATTGACATTTTGTGTGGTCATAAGTTGTAAGAGTATAAAGCTGCAACCATAATTGTGACACAGATATTTTTTTTCCTCACAGGCCAAGAATGACAAGAAAGCCCTCGCCAATGTAAGTGCAACTTTGGCACTTTAGAATTTAAACTCTTTAAGACTTTTGTTATTGAAGCAGTGAATCATGGCATTGCTGCTTCCCTGACATTGCACTGCTCAGTGTTAAATCACATTTGGGAGCAGCTCTGAGTCCTTATTGTTTATCATGCAGCTTCCAGAGTACACCCAGGCTCTGCAGAAGGGTCGAGAGATCCGCAACAGACTGAATCAACTCTACCCCAAAGAGACTGAGCTGGATCGGGAACACTATGGACGAGCGCTCAGACTGCCCAACACCACACACCCCGATGTGGTGAGGACACACACACGCACACACACGTACGTTATCCAGAGCATTTGGGAAAAGATTTTCTATCAAGTGTTTTCCTTTTAAAGAAAGTCCAAAAGTGCCTCTTTTTCCTTTTTTTCAGCCAGTTGGAGATGAGAGTCAGGCAAGGGTGGTGGAGCTGGTTGGACAAAAACCAGGTGATGGATGTGATCTGTACCGCTATTGATCTGGAGCATTAGATCAATAATAATCTAAAGTGCTTTACCCTTGTGTTTTTAAAAATACAAATCTCCTAATCTGCTCCCTCTTTGCTGTAGAGTTTGACTTCAAGCCCAGAGGCCATGTGGAGCTGGGGGAGGAGCTGGGTCTCATCAGGCAGAGGCGAGGATGGCTATACTGTACTGCACTATTCATATGATTCAAAGAAAACTCAAAGAGAGGGGATGTTAGTTTGTCTGTTTAGTCAGTCTGCAGGTTGAAGAGCAAAATGCCATTTTGTATGAATATGATAATACCATAATGTTTAATATTAAGTCTAACCTCATTAATACGAGTGGGGATCATTATATTTTGTTCCTCTCCCGCAGACATCTAGCTCATGTCTCAGGCCACAGGTCCTACTATCTGAGAGGAGCGGGGGCCCGACTTCAGACTGCACTCCAAAACTTTGCCCTTGACACACTGCAGCAACGGGTGAGCTTGTGGAAATATTAGATTTAAAGTCTGCAAAATGAATGGATATTATTACTCTGTTAATATATAGGAGAGCAAAAACGTGAGTCTTCTTTTGACTCCTGCAGGGCTTCATCCCCATGGTTGTACCTGACATGCTGAAAGGGGCAGTATTTGTGAGTAGCAGAGCCCTGTTTCTAACATAGTGATTTTGCATAGGTGTCGTCACTAAAACAGAAGATACTAAACTTAATATCTAAAGATGAGATTTGAATGTAGATAAATTAAATATGGTAGATTGGTTATGTAAATGGGTGAAAACACTCAGATATAACAGTTTAAAGACCATAGTATCTTTAAGCCACACAATGTACCTGACCTCTCCTCTCTTCTCTTCGTCATTCTGATTCATCCACCTCCAGGAGGGTTGTGGAATGCAGCCCAACGCCCATCGCTCTCAGGTCTATTCACTGGACCCGGCCCGTTTCCCAGATCTCAACCTGGCTGGGACTGGAGAGGTCGGGGTGGCAGGTGAAGCTTCATTCTTCACTAATGTTGATGTGCTGGCTTAATGTGTTGCAAGCACAATGAGGTTTTAATTCATTGCAACAATAAAAGACCCCTAAGGTTGTGTATCAGTACCGGTGAACAATGCGACACATCCTCAGTACGCACATACAGGTGACAGTGTTTCAGACCTTATCTGTACTGAGCTGGATTGAGGTGTCTCTGATCCTTCTACTGACTTTGTGGCATCTGTTAGGACAGAGACATTCTTGTTGGTTTATGGAATTTAGTGACCTCACATATTTTCCAGCATTACTTCACCACAACTCAACCTGAGCAAAGGGCTGATTAACACAGTGGATGCACCGATGCGACTTTTTCAGTCTCAATACCAATACCTGGGCTCTTGCCAACGTCTTGCTCGCCCTCCTATTCTCTTCTTAGCTTTTTCTGTCAATGTCTTCTTCTGTCTCTTTGCCTCTGCCATTAACTAACATTATCTTTATAGAGAAGCCCTGAGACCTCGACACTTCCAAGATTATACTGTACTGTGTGTATTTGCTTTTAAACAGCATGGTATTTTATCTGCAGCTATAACTTGTGTAGTAAATGACAAGTAGTGACCATCTACTTGTTGGCCAGTTACACTCAAAATATCCATTTGTCAGTTGATCAGTCCCAGCTTTTGACTCATTGTTGAAGTCACACTTGTGATTAAATTAATTGGTGCATCCCGCTATCAGTCAACTTATCAATAATCCTGTTTCTTACTAGCAAGATTACCTATCGTGCTTGGCTGTAAACCCCCTCAATGTGTTGTCATGGCTATCTAAGCAATATTTGCGCACCTATTTTTGTTATGCAACACTCACGCAGAACTAATAGGTACTTGTAATATCTCATGTGCTGTTATGATACTCTATAACATGTTAATTAATTTGACCTGAAGTGAACCAGTGTCCTTGGTACAGCTCATTTCTGTGAGATTTGTTTTGTTGCAGTGGGCAGAAGGATATTTCCATTCTCGTGATGAATGAGTTTCTCTTTCTCTACCTCCCTATCTATGTGGTAGCAAAAGAAATTACACGTTATCTGTTTCCTTTTGTCAGACTCACCGAATACACTCTGGTGTAGAGATCTGTCCTTTCAGCTGAAAAACTTGACTCTGTTACTCTTCTTTATAAATAGCAGAAAAACAACTTGTTGTAAACATTCTTTATTTCTTCATGAGGAAATCTATAATTTCCTCCACAGGGGGAAGAGGAAGTGAAGAGATCACTAAATAGATGATACATTTTTTGCACGTACTATGTATTGGTTCTTACGCAGCCCACAGTTGCTGTCAGTTTCACCCAAAACCTGGCAGATTGACAGATTATTACTTATTATTAGTAGTAGTGATTAGTGCACTATAATGAGATTTCATACTTGACTCCAGCTGAATTGTAATAAATGCATTTTGTTTCTGGGTTTTTCTCAGTGAACCTAAATTCTACATCATGAATCTTGAATCCAGCTATTCGCATCAAATGTTCCTTCAGTTTTCATCACGCAGTTAAATGGATCATAAATCAAAAATGAGAGCTGGAGGCTTCCATTTTACATGTGCAGTATGTGCAGTAAGCTACTGTGTGTCTCTCTTCTCCAGGCTATTTCATGGATCATGCAGTCAACTGGAAGGACCTGCCTGTCAGGTTAGAAGAACCCCTCATTCCTAGTTTTCTACTGATGAGTGTCATAACTGAGTAATTAAAGCTGACATGGTCTGTCATCTCCCGCTGCAGGACGGTGTGCAGCAGCACCTGCTACAGAGCAGAGACAGACACGGGCAGAGAGACATGGGGGCTCTACAGAGTACATCACTTCAACAAGGTTACAAGGACAACAACATTATGTTAGGCACACAGCAGTTGCTTGGATCAATATGTATACAGAAAACAATATAACAAGTGATTGCAAATCACTAAACAAGTATCTACTCCATAATTACGCTAACAGGCTTTGTAATTAACTGTGTGTGTGTGTGTGTGTGTGTGTACACGTACAGGTAGAGATGTTTGGAGTGACAGCCAGTGAGACGGGAGAAGAGAGCACTCGGCTGCTGGAGGAGTTTGTCTCTTTGCAGAAAGAGATGTTCTCTGCACTGGAACTACACTACAGGTTAGTAAATACACACAGATACTCACTCACACCAGTCACAATTACACATCCACTCAATTTGACATAATAGAATATTTGTATAATCTAAGTTGTATTTGTGTGTGTTTCTGCTCAGAGTGCTGGACATGCCGACACAGGAACTGGGGCCTCCAGCACACAGGAAGTACGACATTGAAGCATGGATGCCTGGGAGGAACAGCTATGGAGAGGTCCCATTATGTCACTATTAACCCATTTACCTACTTACCTTATTTCGATAGTGTAAGTCCTAGGGCTGCACAATTAATCGTAATTGCGATGTCATCACGTGCGATTACATAACCCCAAAAGTGTGCGATTTAATAAAACAGAAAAGGTGTGTGTGAGGCTCTCTTCGCTGTGTGCTGCAGTCTGCTCATTATCTCTGCCCACACCGGGCTCTCGCATGTGCCCCTAAAAACAGATAAGCCTACGTGCAATGAGAAAAATGTTTTATGAGCAGTGTGCTCAGAGTAACTTTTAAGACAACAATCTACTGTAAACCCCTCCCTGCCCTGCCACTAATCATTTAAAACATAGTCGGAGACGTCGTCTGCAGCTGAAGCGGTCAGACAGAAGAAAACTGGGAGAAGATAAGGAAGGTTTGGGTTTGGCTCGCTGGCCATTTAACGCTGTATCGGTGCCTTTTGTTGTTCAACATGTTCAACTTTTCACAGAGCCGACATGCTTGTCAGTCACTTTTCGTCAACCGACCGATCACAGCCTGGATGGGGCCGGAGCTTAAAAAAGTTTGATGTGCTACAACAAATCATTAAATGTTGAACAATATGATTATTGACAAGTTAGGACATAGCATTAACAAATTACAGACCAATGTAGAGCCTTTTGCTTGCACAAGGATTTTATGAATAAAAACAACCCACAAAAATGAAACAGGTGGAACTGGATATAATACTCAACTAGTGGTAAAAAAGTATACTATTATATAAAATTATAATGAATGTTGTAGAAACAGGTGACTTTATACTGTAAGGGTATTACCGACTGCCCTGAGATGAAGGCCTATCAAGCACAGTCCGATAAAACTCTCTAATGAGCATCTTTCCCATGGGAAACTTCACCTAACTGCAACCTAATAAAATGATCAAAAATCACACAGTGAGACATTGGTCTATAATAATGAAGCATGCAAGATGAAACAGTAAACACTGTAAAATATCACATTTCCATCACAATGTTCATTTGTGATAATATATGCTGTAGAGTCAGACTCACAAACATGTCTTCTGTTTGAAGAGTCACACACAAGCAGTTGAGGGGAAAATTATACTCTTTTGAAAGGGCCTATAACTTCTGTTTGATTAAAAAAAAAATACAATGGTACAGTTGATGATGGCACTGCAGGTGCTATGAAGATGATGACAGATTTAAGGCCTTTGAGCTCCACAGAGCCAGTTAGTTGTTTATCCTGCTGATTCTGATTTCTGTTCTTTACTCTCTATATATACTGTATCAGATTTCCAGCGGGTCCAACTGTACAGACTACCAAAGCAGACGCCTGAACATCCTGTATGAGAGAGAGGATGGCAGCCTGCAGTACGCCCACACAGTAAGACTGCAGATGAGGCAGCACTGCTATACATTCCTGTGGGGTTATTTTACAGCAGTATACCACTTCCATGATAAATTTTCTTAATTTTATGTCTATAGGTGAATGCCACAGCATGTGCCATCCCCCGAACCATCATCGCTATCCTGGAGACTCACCAGACCAAAGTAAGACACCAACATAAGGGCGCACTTCACACATGAGGGTTTCCAAAACCCTGGAATTCTTTAATGCAGGTTTCAGTCATTGAATTGTGGAAAATTGGAAATGACTAAACAGAATAAAATATTCTGGAAAATAATGAGTTGTTTTGAAAATTATATTGTGATCCGGTTGTTATAGGTTGTAATAGGCATCACAAGGCCCCTAAAAATAGTGCTCAGTGCTAGGAAGAGGACAAATAAAATTCTTATGTGGGGCTTGTAGTTATCTTTCTATGCATATTCCCAGGTCACAATAACTGAAACAAATATCATCATTGTCATGTCAGCAACTAAACCAGACCCAAATTCTTTATTTTAAAGACAAAGCTTTAATCAAAATGTTTAAAAATGTGACCCTTCTTTTGGAAAATAACTGTGTAGTTTCACGTTCTCTTCCAACAAAACAGTAGTTTGTCCACCGTTCACTGCGTTAAATGTGGATTTCTCTGCATGCATCTGTGTGCAAAGTTTGGTGTAGAAGTGGCTCCCTCTTGTGATTGTTGTCTGTCAAAACTGTTTTATACTAATTGTGATGTATTTCAGCAGAAATGCTGAAATAGTAATATAGAAATAATACAGCATTTTCCTGAGGCAGAAAAATTATTCAACAAAAATCATAGTATAAGTTGGCTTAATAGGGAACTTAACCTAATGAAACTTAAAGCAACATTATGTAAGATTTGCATAAGGACAGGTATAGGCCTGCATTACTTATGTTAAAAAACTAGCATGTCAACAACTTTGCTAACACAGCCAAACATTAAGCAAGTGCGACAACATAAGACATAGTAAGCCAGCTAATAAGTTATTACTTAGTTCACGAAGCTCTCGCCGATGTCCGGTGGCCTCTTTCTTGGTCACTCTCTTTTTCTCATCTTAGCTGTCGTGCCCGAGTCGGACGAGCAGGCAGCATAATCAAGCTCAGCAGTCTCTATGGACATAAAGCAATGGCAGAGGCAAAGAAATAGAAGAAGATGTTGATGGAGGAAGCTAAGAGAAAAAGAGCTTAAGAGAGAGTGACTGAGCACGAGACTGGGGGGAAACATGCCAAGAAAGCTAGACACAGACGCAAGAGCACATACAGTAGCGTTACTGATGTCAGAGTAAGTTATATTGTAAGTTTGCTAAAATCAACTCGAGATTTATAGCTAGCAGCTAAACCTCTGTCTGTGGCTGATTTTTCTCGAGTAGACAGCTTTGCTAACACAGCAAAACATCAAGCAAGCGCAACAGAAGACACAGGAAGCCAGCTAATAAGTTATTACTGACTAGTCCAACAGCAAGAAGCTCGGCATCTGTCCTGCATCCTTTGAGCTCTTTTAGCTCACACCAACGAGTAAAAGCCAGTCAGACATTTACTCCTGGTCACTCTTTTTCTCTTCTTTGCTTCCTCTGACATCTTCCTCTGACATCTTCCTCTGACATCTTCCTCTGACATCTTCCTCTGCCTCTGCCATGACATTCCTACTCAGAATACCGAGCTAGCTTTTTCCAAAGAACTTACATTGTACAATATACGTTTTGCTTCTTCTTCTGCTTGCTTGCTGAAGAGTCGTGTTTGTGCTGTAAACCATTACACCGTTGTCATGATAAATGTGCTTCCCGGGATTGCAATGTCACATAGCGCAGTAGCTGACGCTGTGAGCCCAGAGTATAAAGACAGAAGCGCTATTCACCCTTTAAGTCAGTCTCCAATCAAAATGGTTTTGAACATGGTATTATAGGATACAATACCACAATCCTGCTTTAATCTATACAATAAATGCCCCCCAATTCCCAAATGTCTTTTATCTGTATTAAATGTCTATCTTGTTACAACCAATACCCATTACAATATTGCAAGGAACATGTTATTTTTCTCCTGAACAACACTGAAATGCAAACCACCTCTTCTCTTTTGTTTTCTGTGTTGTGATTTGATTTTAATGTTTTAAGGAAAATTCATATCACAATGAAAAACAGACAAATTGCTACATAACTGTCATTTAACACATGCTTTTCATTTCATTATGAAACAGTAAATGATTACATTGAAAGCAAACACAAATAACAACGTATGTGTATTGTATTTCCCTTGATTTCGTTGTTTGATCTGTTTACTTAGCCATTTTAAATTTTCCATAAAAATGGGCCTTAAATAACTCCAAAGAGCAACTAGTTGTCAAATTCTATAATTCATTGTAAAGTACTCCCGGTGGATTTACTACCGCCCTATTCCTTTTTATTTTTATTTCAAGACTTTTTAAAAATCCTCTTGACTTAACATTACACTGTTATTAAAGATACAAATTTTTGATGCCTTTTTTGTTTCGTCTCCATCTCCCCAGGCGGGAACAGTACTTGTCCCCCAGGCCCTGCAGCCTTATTTGGGTCTAGAAGTGATCGAGAAGCCAAAGTACGCTCCACTGAAATACATCGGACCCAATCAGCACAGTCGACCATCCAGGCCTGCTCCCAAGACCAGATGACACAAATTTAAGTGTAGTGCTGTAAAGCCAGCCATCGTCCACAAACACTAGTCCACCAATAACAGCCAGTTCATATTCAGCAACACCAAGTCAGAGAGAAGCAGATTTTTACCACACATAAGGATGTTTCATACATTATGTTGTATATCTGCTTACAAGTTAATAATAGCCATTGTTCTTCAAATTCATTGAAATATTGACTTTTTGTGTTCAGTTTGAATTGATAGCATCAATGTTTTGAGGCGATGGATGAAGCTTGCATTACTGTCACTGTAAATATAGCCTATTTGTGTCTTACTGTATTTTGTGAATGTAAGCCTGAATGTGTGTTGACCAGCTCACGCGGAGGACCATAATAAAGATATGTGTTTAATTTCTGTCTCCTGTATTGTAGTCTTTTCAATTTTTTCATGCTTTTATCTTGTATTGTTTTTGTATTATTGTCTTTTGGGTATTATTGTCTTTACACTTGTTAAAGCACTTTGTAAGTTGTTTTTGAAAAGTGCTCTACAAATAAAGATTATTATTATTATTATTATTATTGCTTAGTGGTCCTCTTTTGCTCATGCCCAGTACTGTTACATTATACATTAGCACACAAACAGACTGAGTGACATTGTGACCTTGAGGAAGAGGGCCTTCAGATGGAGCACAGCAAAAAAAAATGAATCTTCCAGAGGTGGCATACAGGCTTGTTATGTGTGTGATATGACCAGCTGTTACAGAGTATCAATAATCGATGCAAAAGTAATTAACCAGCACAGGGAGTTGATGGTGTTTACATGGACCTACCAAATTCAGCTTTTAGTATTCTCACCGGGCATATTAAATAGGATTTGGGGAATTACAGAGAAGTTTGATGTGTTAAATTGTATGTAGCTACTTTTATACCACTTAAGCACTCCAAATGCTCCTGATTTTAATAACGTTACACCTGAGACACATGTTATGCGCACCCTCCCACAATTTGTTAATCTGCTGTTAGTAACTTACAGGAAGACCACCTGACATCTGTGGCACCTTAACAGGACTTGGGCTTTGATCTGGACTCAGTCACCTGACACCACACACACACAGACACACACACACACACACACACACACACACACATACACACTCGGTGCTCGGCTCCACCTCGCTCGGCGGGTGTGTGAAGAAGATCCAGCCCGTTATTTTCAAGGTTATCTCCTGCAGGAACCTGACTTCTCGGATCCTATGGGAATTCTGATAACCGCAGTTTTTCTTTGGGCTGCCGTCGGAGGTAAGCATTCATCACGTTTATTAAACAGCGACAGTGTGTGTGTGTGTGTGTGTGTGTGTGTGTGTGTGTTGAGCGGTCAGTTTGAAATGACGGTACAAAATGCGAGTAAGCTCTCAGCAGGCTGCGTCGGAGACGAGGCTCATCTTTCACACACTGCTGCCTTTGTCATTCTTTTTACCGGCATAAAACCAGCTTTGTGGAAGGCTATAAACAGACGAAACTAGATGCGTTATAATTGCAGGCTTCTTTATGGAGGTGACCAAAGGTGTATGCTAACGGCGAAAGCCTCGGGGCTTAAGACCCGTTAATAGGCTAAACAAAAGCGTTGTTACATAATATGCGCCCACCTTATGTTTCTGTCTGCTGACTGAAGATGCTGTTGGGATGGATATTTTAAACAAAGGCATATTTGACTTTTTACTGACCCCAGAGAGTCCTCTTGAACACCATTAATGCGAATTAAAAGCTCCGCACAGGTGAGCGGAACAGCGTGCGTGTGCGCGTGCGGCACGGCGACGTACGCCAGCTGCTGCGAAAACGTGTTAATGACTTAAAATAAGTGTCAGGAATACGGTGTGAGGTTTAGAGGGGAGTCTGCCTCCCTCTGAGACATGCGTACAAAAATAGGGTAAATATTAGTCTGCAGTGGCGTTACGCGCAGTGTTATGCAGTAACACAGGCGATAACCCACATAGAGCAGACTGCCAACTGTCTGTGGGTTTAACTTCTATTTGGCTGTCGCAGTGAGCGAAGGCAATAACTGTCAAACCTCACAAGTACAGCTATACCTAGCCTGCATTAAAAAAAAGATATCGCCACAGAACCAGCAGTTGTAGGTAAAACAACCTTACTGTAGGCTACCACTGACTGTAGCTTGATGTCAATGAAATGCCAAGAGAAGTAAATATCTCTCAGCCCCTATAGTTGCTTATATTCCTGACTCAGATGTGGCTCTGGTTTTTAGTCATGGCAACCGTTTGGAGCTGAATTTATCAGATAAACTGCAGCCTCTTGACCTGTGCAGATCTTTTGATTTCTGAATTTTGACCATGGGCCCATGGGCAGCAGTACCTGTCAATAATATCCAGATCACAGCTTAATTATGGGGCCAGGGTGTCCCAGCTTAGACAGTGTGGTAATTGGAAATTGGAAAGGGCGCACACAAACACACACACACACACACACACACACACACACCCACACTATCACATGGACATGCAGAACATTACAGGGCCAAACTGTAGGCGGCTCACGTGTCTGTAGGGGGTTCAACAGTGGCCAAGTTATCAATTAATCCCATTGATCCTGATTTGTACTGATCTGACTTTGTGCTGACACACGCCACAGAGTTTAGAGGAAAACACACAGCTTCTACATGTGTTAAGGGAGCAAGTTTATGTAACTTTAGTAATTAGTTTGGGTCGTAAGGGATCCAAACGCGAGGCTGGGTTAGATTACTGTAAATCAAATTTTTCATCAAAACATCTCAAGAACATGTCTTCTCAAGTCAACTAAAGCAACACCAGTGTGTTGAGTTGACAAGTTGAAATAACTGCACACAACAGTGAATGGTTGACTGTTTAAATTATTTAGAATCTCAGCTTTGAGATGTATTGAGTTTATGATCATGAATTGCATACATTTAAAATGTGGACAGAAAACAGACACATGTTTCTACATTGGGCGGAAAATTCTGGGCTCACACTTAGATTCATGACTAAATGAAGGTGCAGTAATTGTGTAGCATGATATGTTGTACCTCAGCCAGTCCTTGCACCCAATACATAACAATAACAGGAAAAGTTCTCAGGCTGCAGGCTGAACATGGATTGTGATCTATACTGTCCTTGTTCAATGCAATGTAGCTCCGTGAGAAAAGGCACAGATGGCGCCGCTTAGTGTGCCTTTAATGATCGGTGACTGATTTAGGCCTGGTGGGAAGCTACCTGTGAGCTAAAGCCTTTGGGAATATCTGCATCCCGGAGAGAGAGGGAGATGGGGTTAAGCTTCTTTGCTGTGTCGCTTTACCAGGGTAACTGTGCTTACCTTAATGAGGGAACAGCTCCACCCACGCCACATGCAGGACTTACCAATGCTAAGTAAACAATGTGCTGCTCTGTGTAGTTTGCAGCAGTTTTCGCTGAAATTCTAAATATATTGATTTGTGTTCCCATTCTCGCTCACACCCCATCGCTCTCCCTACTCTCTCTGTATCTCCCTCCTTGTTTTGTGCCTCAGTGGGAAGCCGGCCAGTAACCTCACCCCTTGATGATGCAAAGGTCAGAAGCAAGGTCTTTTTATCTCCTCTATCTTTCAGCATAATACAGTATATACTGTGTATACTATATATATACCTTTTAATAACTCGACCAGTGATTGTGTGCGGGGGTTTTTTATGTCCTTAGGTTGAATGTATTATTCAGGAGACTCTGAACGAAGACGGGTCACAACATGAGTGTGGCCCACAGCTAGCAGGTGACATCTCTAATTAACATTTAGGGGTTTTAGGCTGTTGGTAGGACAAAACAACTGAACTGTGATGGGCATTTTCCACTACTTTCTCACATTTTATAGAATAAACGTCAATTTAACGTTACATGAAAATGTAAGATAGTCAACTACTGTAATTTTGTCTCTTTATTTGCTGAAATGTACTGCCATTTCTCTTGTTGTGTAAAGACTTGTGAGCATCTACAGAGTTACATTTGTAGATACTCTATTCTGCACTTCTTTTTGTTTTGGTGTGCTATTGTTTTTAAGTGTTGTGTCTCATTGTTTTTGCAGAGGAACTTGATGAAGTGCAAAGACATCAGGGTCTGCTCAGGGAGCTGCAGACGCTGGCTGGTGATGGTACGCACAAGTTCACGTTGTAACACACTGTTCAGTGCTAGAATACACGTCTTTGGTGAAGACTTTAGGTGTTTAATAAATTTTTGTTGGAGTGATATAAAAGTCTGCTGTGAGAAAAGTGATTTCTTCACTTGATGGCACTGACTATTGCAATCTGACTGTTGGCAGAGAGAGAAAGGGAGCGAGACGATGAGAGGGAGCGATATGAGTACAACTTGGCTGACGATGAGAGCGACTTCGAGCAGAGAGGTGAGGAAGCGAAGGAGGAGAGAGACGTGACCGACCTTGCAAAAAAGACTGAGGGAAAGACAGAAGACAAGACAGAGGGAAATGCCACCAAGGAGAAGATGATGGAGGAGCCACGGGTCGATGACACAGGGAGGGAAAATGAAGAGGAGAGAGCCAAGGAGCTTGAGGAGCTGCTAGCTGAAGAGATCACCAAGAAAGGGAAGGAGGAGAAGAATGATGACGAGCTCAAAGAACTGCTGAAAGAGCTGAAGAAGAAACGCTATGAGGTGGTGAAAGAGAGGGAGATCCAGAAAGGCCCTGGAACAGAGCCGATGGCACACGTGGAGGAAAATAAGGAAAAGGAGGACAAAAAGACGGAGGGAGAAACAGAGGAGGACTTGGAGAAACAGAGGATGGAAGAGAGGAGGAAGAACGAGGTGGAGCTCATGGTAGAGAAGGAGAAGGTGGAGAAGGAGCTCAAGGAGCTGCTGGAGGAGCAGGACAGCAAGAGCAAACCAGAGCAGGAGAGGGAGAGGAAGGAGAAGCAGGAGGAGCTGGAAGAACTCGTCAGGAAGATGAAACGGGTGCAGGAGCAGGAGACGCCGGGCGGGAAGAAAGAGGGCGGCGTGGATGAAAGGGCAGCGGAGGAGACGAGCGTGAAGGAGGAGGGCGACGTAGAAAAGGAGCGTGACGGGAAAGCACAGAACGAAGTGGAGAAGAGGGAGGAGGCGGCGGAGATGAAAGAGCCGCAGCAGAAGAGGGTGATGGAGAAAGCGAGCGATGAAGCCACGCAGCAGTTTGAGCGGGAGAGGTACAAGGATGAGGAAGAGGAGGACGATGAGGATGAGGATGAATACGTCAGAGAGGATGAGGAGGGGCGCGAGGAAGACGACGAGGAGGGTGACGCCGAAGAAGATGAAGGGGAGGTGAGATGGTGCAAATAATATGGCTGTTTGTATTGACACTTTATACGAGAGCCAACACACTATAGTGTAATTATTTAGTATGTGGTAATACTGAAATACTTACTGTGTACCTGTACCATGACAAATATCTACCGTAAGCACAGGTGGAAACAATAAGAGGTTAGAGAATAACGTAGTAACAATTTATTAGTGTCTCGAACATCACCTGTCAGTCAAAAGTCCAGGGTATACGGCCCACAAAATAAAGTAGCCCCTTGTTCACCCTTTCTTCGTGTGAATGCAAAAAAAATATTGGGTGTGCAGGCTTTTTTTATGTAGCATTACTGATCCTGTTATATTTATGCAGTACACTCTGTAACCACAATAAATAAAATTAAACAGAAAACAAAATGTGTCCATCTCAGTGTTGATGGATGGATGTCAAAATGTAAACAGTAGTGTTTGCAAAAGTGTTTGTCTGCTTGAAGATTGCTGGCTCTGAATCATGTTGGAATCCTCTGGATAAAGCTGAATAAAAATGATAATAGTAATAATAATAATAATTACTCTGAAATGTACACCCTTTACAAAGTTTCATTAGCCTAGGCCAGAGGTTTTCAAGGTGCGAGTCGAGCTTCCCTAAGGGGGCTCCAAACTGTTTCAAGGGAGGCTCAGTGAATGGAAGTGAAACAATATTAAATTAGTTATCAAAAGAGGATCTCATAGAATAGCCTACATGTGTGTGATTTGGCTTCTTTTAAAATGTATTTGGTGTAGCCTGAAGTTTCATCAAACAGCAATATTAAGCTAACTTAATAACATAATCATGATCCCACAGGAATCCAGGAATTGAGGGAAACTAAACTAGAGGGGCACCTTTTCCCAAAGCTTTGTCCGAGTTGAGGGCCACGGTCTCAGACTTTGAAAACCGCTGGCCTAGGCTCACCAGTAACAACAAAATTAGCAGACTCATACCCAGAATTCTGCTCTCTCTTAAGATGAGAGGTCTTGGAGGCGCTCCCTCATATTTACCAGCGTTATTATTGAGAGGATCTATTTTATAGTTTTTACCCTTTCGATTCATATTGTATATGTACCATGTGCGAGCTGTAACCCGAAGCACTGGCATGTTTCCGTCCACAGGAGCTGCTGGAGATTGAAGCAGAGTTGCGCAAAGTTGCTGCAGAGCTGAGGGAGCTTCGCAGAGGATAAGACACACAAGCACACGCAGCAGACTGACAAAACCCGTTGTTGCGATCACAGTCACACATTCAGCTCACGCATTTTCCATTTTATAGCCTTCAAATCCCCACAGCACTCAGAGAAATGTTTTCAGATGTGAATCTGTAAATGGACATTAGTAGAAACTGTACATACTGTTGTTTCATTTCTGCTTTTAGATTGCCTGGAAAAGATTGTCACCGTTTCTTCAACGCTCATTTGAATAAGGAAAAAGAGACGCATTTTTCTAGAGAATCTGAAAGATCTTTGTGTCCTCCAGTGTGTCCCTGTCTCGGTACCTGTAAATGCTGTTTGTAAGATAGACAGGTTCACCTCAGTTGTAAACCACCAGGATGCAAAGCATTCAGCACTTTTATTCAAATGTTATTTTTGACTGCAGATTGCCATCCACACAAACACCATCATCTTTTAAATCTGAGTCATGAATATTGGCAAGCATCGCTTCTTGTCTCTGAAGGTATCATCCTTGATGTGTTCATGATGGGAAAAACAGATTCCCTACTAGTAATGTGTATTTCAATATATATTTTGTGCAATAATTGATTAACTGTGTAAGCTGTTCCTGCTGTTCTGACTGTTAATGATATGCATTACTAATATTTGTACACAGGAGTAAGACATTATTTCCTCTTCGTTTCTTTGATGATGAAGTAGAAACAGAGATTCATTTGGCTCTCGCACTGTTAAAACCAGACTGTTTGTGATGAACCAGGGTGACAAAAACAAAACACAGAGGAAGTTGATTAGCGCTCCTAACTTCTGCACGCTGACACGGGTGTCAGATGTTAAAGTTTGCTTCGAGCGTGGTTAGTGTGTGGCCACAGGACACAATGTACTTACAAGCTTACAAGGTCTAAAAGTGTCACTTCAGGTTCTCAGCCAGCTTTGCACTCTTATCTTAACAAGCCAAGGAGGAGTCGAGAGGAAGAGGGAGACACTAAAGCCATTTTGTTGTTGTTTGGTAAATGCTCAGTAGTGTTACATCACAGTTTTCATGGTTGTCATGTCATTTATGTATATATCAGATATGGTCTGCAAGCCAAGGTCAAAGGAAATATGAAGCAACAGCGCCCCCAAGAGGACACTGGGTAGAAATACACAGTGCAAGATTAACAGGGTTACCATTGGAGGCCCACTTATCTGCAATAAGGCAAAATAGACTACAGCACATGTGAATGCAATAATTAGCCAAATGATGATTTATTTCTTGTATTTAAATGTGTAATCAAAGTGCATCATATAGTACTCACATAACAGATATAATCTATCTTTTTCTACACAGCCAAGATTTACAATACATTGATGTGTTTGAACTCTGGCAAAGAAGCCGGTCACCTTGTGTAAACCCGTAGTAATAACACACGCGTGATCAGTCAACACTGATGGGCTCATTGCTGTCTATTCCAAAGATGAGATATTTGTTCACTTGAGAATAAATGAAAAATTAATGTACTGTAGTTTTCTTTTTCTATAGAAGTGCAAAATCTTTCCACAAAATGTATATTACAAACGAGCAAGACAGATGTAGGAAATGTCTGTGTGTGTGTGGTGGGGGTGACATAAGGGCACAGAGGACATTTCGAACAGGGAAAAAAATGACAACAAAAACACCATTTGTAATATTACTGGCCAATCAGAGTGCTGTATTTTGTGCCTGCTGTATCTTCTATGCTACCTGTCAATCAATAAACGGAAAGTGTATTAAACCAGTTTGTGTCGTCCGTTTGGTTTGTCGACTTGTAAAAAGAGCAGAATCACTTACAGCACGTTACAGCTGCAGCAACATCATTAGTGTGATTTACAGGAGATACAGTTTAAGATCAAGTCATGTTACAAATTACAAATAAATATCTTCTTACAATTGAACACAAAGTCTTGAAAACAGCTGAGTTAGGTCAGTGTAAAAACTAGTGCTTTACTTGTCCTGAGAAGCTGACGAAGCAGTACAGTCCACGATCTGTTCCTGAGGTGAACCGGCAGCAGATGGACCACCTGTAGTCTGTGTTGACTCAGAAGAGCCAGTAGCCTGGGGGCCATCGGAGGTCTGTTTGTCCAACACTGACTCAATGTGGCTGAGCAGACAGGAGAAAAACTGGGGCACTCCCTCATAGCCTGAAAGAGGGAAGAGTGTATCAGAACATTGGCATGTCTGTGTGTGTCCGTGTGTGTGCGTCTGTACAGCTGCCGTACCTGGGAAGATGTTGATGTCGATAACGGTGAGAGTGTGTGTGTGTATGTTGATGATGATGTCCACGCCGAAAAGAGCCATGCCAAGCTGAACTCGGAGCTCTCTCACCAGGGCGGCCACGGCCTCAGAGCTGGGAGGAGGCGGGCACGGCATCTGCTCATCCAGCTTGGAGAACAGGAGGACAATTTTTTAGGGTGGATTTCAGCCTAGTCAGGTGACAAATGGTTGGGGGTCTGAGTGTACATTTAGAAGCCATTTACCATTTACAAGCTGTATGTGTGCCTTTTTAGCACTCTTATTACTTATTAATGCTTATTATTGTTTTGCAAATATATTATATAGCACTTGGGTTAGGATATCAATGTAGGAAAATTGGGGACAAGTTTATATAATAATATAAAATATAATACAATGTAGTGCCTTTGTTAAAAAAGAATTACTTCATTTCTGACTTCATCTGAAAGAATTTCAGGAAATATAGGGAAGACATTTTCAAATACTGGAGATTATTAGTTTGATGCATACAGTAGTTCATGAGTATGTTGTTGTTACAAATACTTGTATCCCACTTGTACTACTTACTGCTGTGAGATCAGAGCTTGACTCAGGCTTGGACACCTGATGGCTATTGAAGAAGATGGTCTTCCTGTCTGGAGACAGAGAGAAATCCCAATCAGAGTGCATACAGGGAACAAAAAAACAAGGGAGCGCAACATAGGTGAGAGCAAGACACAACAGCACATGGCATGACAGGACAATACATGGCAGGAGACAGAAATGGGAAGGAAAGGAATATCTATCTAAGAAAAGGATATCTTCTTTTTTGGGGGGTCTGGTGAAGACTGACCACAGGGACCGGAGGGGAAGTTCTTGAGTGAGGGCCTCTCTACGCAGAAGTGTCTGTCTCCTACCACAAACACCTTGTGCAGAACAGCTCCGTGGTTGATGAAGCTCTGGAGCACACAGGGAGGATGGATATCAGCCAGACTCCTCGCACTGAAGATCAGAGACATCTGCAGTACACCGATATTGCACAGACATGAAATAAACAGAGAGAGAAACAAACAAACATGTGTAATTTTCAAGCTAAAGCACTCACCTCATGGGAAAGCAAGCCATGTGCCCCTCGGGTTTTACAAACTGGGGTCAACGAAGAAAAATAGGAAGTTGTTGTGAGTCCTGTCATACTTCATGACGAAACAAAAAGGACAGAATGATGATGGATTCAGCAGTGTGAGAACCACGATAACCTGAGAAACCTTTGGAGAACTGACACACCACTGACCACAAATCTGCTCCCATATAATCTGAATAATACCGTCCAAAGTTCTGCAGATGAGTTTTTAGGCTTCACTTACTGACACAGAGAAGCTGAAAAGGGATTACTTTAAAGTTCATTTAAACATTCTTAACTTATGAAGTTGAAATATAAGAATGAAATCCGTAAAGAACTAAAAGGACACAGATAGACAGGGAGTGAACTGACTGAGAGGAAAGCTTATGCCTTGGCTCATCACAGCCTGCTGAATGGATGACAGGCCACTGGCACTGTGGACCTCTAGGTAAGGAGGACTGCAGATGCACCAGTCTGTTGAACAGAATATAATAGGAAAGGCAGGCGTTAATACCTTCAAGCAACAGCGATCTACAATACACACTCTGAAGCTGCATTTCACCTCGGAGCGAACTCTGCAGCTTGCTCATGATCCGATAAGAGGCAAAGCGGTCTAGTAGCTGGGTCATGGCAGGCAGGGGGTCCAGAAGAACTGTCCTGGGATGAGCTGACACATAGCTCTGTCATGTAAAAGACAGAAAGAGAAATCATCTCACCTCCAGCATGAATGACTGAATAATTACTCATTTACAAGCATAGAGTTGATAAACAATCCATATTCCTTACAAAAAAAGCGTCAGTGCAGCACATACAGACAGGTGTACATATTCCTCTGCTTGCATTTCACACAAATACAAAAACTGTATTTTTGTTCCACAGTCAGTGGTCCATTCTCCCACTCTTCCAGCAGCACCAGCTAAAAACAATCATCCTTTATGTTCTGACTGGATTATTTAGGACAGATGCAGAAAACTTGGTTCTTTCACAACGCGGCCTTACCTGGAAGTTGGCAAGGAGCTGCTGCGACTGGCTGTCATGCTCAGCCTCCACGATGACATCAGACAGCTTGTGAATGATGACGTCGAAGGGCCCCACCAGTGGCTGTGTGAGGTCAATCTGAGAGAGAAAAAACACTTTTACAATCCTATGCAGTGGATGTGTCCAACTAGAGTACCTGATACTTTCTTACTGCCTATCTCTGAGTAATGTTTGGGAATGTATGTGAAAGACATTCTGTATAATAATGTACACACGGCAGAGTCAGACAATTTTAAATGCAGTACAGAGGCTGATTGAGGCTACTTTTCCTCTCTGCAATTATCTCCTTGTTTATTGTAATTTGACTTTTCATGATATTCACTCAAGTAAAATGTGGGGGAAGGTGAAATCATTATTGGTCTGCATAGATATTCACATGCAGTTAAATGTCTGAGCAGTTACAATCAGGCAGCCCTTGTTCACTGTTCTGCTAAAAGCAGATTATAGGAGGGGGCTGCAGGTGGCTGTGACATGGATTACTAAAGTTGTGGACATCTGTTGATGTCACACGTGGGTGTCTGTGGGTGGACAGTGTTTCCCAAACTACTGTCACTATGTCATACTTCAGCTGTAATGCTCAACCTTTTGGAGTAAAATGGCAGCATGCTATATGTGTACACACACACACATACAGGGTCGAAAGTTACAGCCTTAAGACATGGCAAATACTAGTCCTCACTTTTCACCACAGGCTTGACATTTCTTCCTTATTTTATTTATCTTTATGGTTTTATTGGTGAAGGAAAACACTTACCTCCACCACTTCCACTCCATGGACCCTGCAGGACAAATACTGAAATGTTTATATATTACTGGTGATGATTACACAGGAGTCATCTGATGTCAAACAGGGCTGACAATGAATGTTTCTGTGTGGCAATAAAGGCTCATATGGACAGATGATTTCCATTGCTGCTGATAAAGAATGGCGCAACTGTGTACACTAGTGAGGGTGCTGTTACAATAGCTATTCTTACACGTCTTAACGGAGATAATCTGTATTGCTTTAAAATAAAATTAAAGAAATACCTTCCTCATTTTGCTATGGGTCCCCAGGGGCCCATTCACATTCACCAGACACATAATCAGGGGCTCAAAATGAATTAAAAAGTCGACATCAACTTACGCACAGAAGTCTGCAAATGCGTCCAGGTTCATCTTCCTGCGTTTCTTATCGCTGAGATAGAAGCCAACCCTGCGGCCTGACATTTGGCTGTGAGTGTGGAGGCCGCCAGCAGCCAGGGACAGCAGCCACAGACAGAGAGAGGGGGGTCTGAGTAGATATCTCACTCTCCATTCAACCCTCCCTCGACTATTTCTGCTGACGAGTCTTTGAAAAGTGCTCTCTGTCTTTTGTGCTCACGTGAAAAAGAGACAGCGCCAGTCCTGCCGGTAAAGTCTCCCGACTTCCTTATTGCTGCCATCCAATTGTAATGAAGCGAGGCCGGCCATGGAGCTGCTGCACCTCACTCATCAAACATAACTGAAAGAGAAAGTAAAAATCTCTCCGGGAAGTAACTCCATTATCCTGCAGCACAGACATGCAGCTCTGTATTTGCTGACCGTCAGACAGGAAAGAATCGCCGAGTATTCAGGCCAATAATAATATAAAGACACATTAAGCGCTGTGAAGTTCATCTGAGGTCACGAGGAGAAGAAAAAATGTCCCGCGGTTCAAACGCAGGTTTCGACCGACACATCACCATATTTTCACCGGAGGGCCGCCTCTACCAAGTCGGTAAGAGAGACGTTTTCCCCGTTGTTTTAGTCCATGGTAATACTTGCTAATGCACAAAAGAAGCCTTCTGCCTTTCCAACTTACAGTTACTAACTTAACCGTTACTGTTAATACAAACAGTACTAACAATACACACAAATATCATTATGGAGCTAAAGTAAGCTAGCTTGTCCGGCTGTGTCTGGGTGCATTGCAGTTAGCAACAACACTTTCACCCACGTTTTCTCTTTTTAAATATGTAAGTTAAACATTTTTATTTAAACACTCCACCATGATAAAGTAAAATTTAACTTTGGATTTTATTTCACAGGTTACATAATGTATAGGTTAATGTCAGGTTCATTATGTGTAGCCCAGAAACAGTTGAGCTAACGTTAACTTTACTTTGCTCCTCAAAGTTGTCTTTTTTAATACTGATGTGTTGTTGGTGAAGGAGCAAACATGCAGTTCTCCAGTGATGAACAGAATTTAAACTTTATATAAAAACTTTCTCCTCTTCATTAGAGTATGCCTTCAAAGCCATCTCCCAGAGTGGGTTGACGTCCGTGGGGATCCGGGGGATAGACAGCGTTGTGGTGGTGACACAAAAGAAAATACCTGTGAGACACACACACACACACACACACACACACACACACAGATATTCACTTGGATAATGATGATATGAGTTCAAGCAAAACAGTGAAGCTTCACAGGAGTCATGACTCCAGCTTTTTGCTGACTTGGCGGTCAAATATATGAACAAGATGCTGCTGTAAAAATGCCAGTACTCACATTACCAAGCCAGACACTACTTTAATTTTAGCAAGCTCTTATTACACACAGGAGAAGGACGGAGTCCACGTTGTATTTTGTCCATCTCCTCCTGTCAGTCTCAATGTCTAATCATCATAATGAAGGATGAGTGAGGTCAAGCAGCATTGTCAAATAGTTGTATCAAAGCTTTATGTAAGATGAAATTCATATAATGGAAGAATTTGGGCCAAATATTGTCCAAGACACACGCATACGATTTACCTTACATCAGTGCAGCCACTAGTATCTTCTTTTAATATATTTTCCATCTTAATTTATTACTTATTAAAACTTTGTTTTTATTTTTGTTGTTAAATGTTAAATGTTAAATGTAACGTTGACATTTTCACATGCACAGTGACATATTGATGTGTGCCGTCACAATGTCATTTTGTAAGTTGGACGTGACACTCTTCACTTCTCCTGAATGCAGGACAAGCTGCTGGACTCTTCCACTGTGACCAATATGTTCAAACTAACCCCTCGCATTGGCTGTGTAATGACTGGGCACACTGGTGAGTATTCAGCACACACACACACACACACACACACACACACACAAACAACCCATGTAACTGTGATATTTAATAACCACAAACAAATGTGACCATGGTTAAGATAACCTAAAGTTGGCCTTGTTTGTTCCTTTAAATAAGGATGATAAACAACTGGTGGACTATAGTGTAATATACTGTTTATGATGCATTAGACTCTGTTAATTGTCCTAGTGACATTCTTCTCTGTTTACTGTATTTACACCTCTGTCTGGAATATTATATTACATTAATATTGTTAAGAAGCTGCATTCTCCCACCCTTCTATCTTTTGCAGCGGACAGTCGTTCCCAGGTTCACCGGGCACGAGTAGAGGCTGGAGAATGGAAATATAAGTTTGGTTATGACATCATGGCTGACGTGTTGTGTCGCAGGTTGGCCGATATCTCCCAAGTCTACACACAAAATGCCGAAATGAGGCCCCTAGGCTGCTGTGAGTCGGGAGCTTGATTTATGACTGTACAGTACATTCTCATTAAATAGGTGACGTCTTCCTTATAACGATGTGAAGATGAAGGTTTTTCTCTTAACTTGTTTCATCCAACCTTTTTCTCTCCTTCCCCTTCCGCAGGTATGATCATGTTGGCTATGGACCCCCAGCAGGGTCCTGTCCTGTATAAATGTGACCCAGCAGGCTACTACTGTGGCTTCAGAGCCACAGCAGTTGGGCCCAAACAAACAGAGGCCAACAGCTACCTGGAGAAGAAACTGAAGAAAAAGCCTGAACTGACTCACGACAGGACAGTACAGGTAGAGTGAAACCTAGTTAACAGAGCTGCATAAACAATATGGAAAACTGAGCAAGATGGTAAATTTCTAGTCCAAGGAAGAAAGAGTGGACTGGTCGCGATAAAGGTTCCTGTGGGAACTTCCTGTAACCGAAAGACCTAAATTAATTAACAGCTGTGTGTCCTGATGATTGCACTTAAACTGATCCCGTCCACTTGATATATATTTCTTGATATAAAAGGCCTCTGAAGATTGACATTTAATAAATGTAACTAACTTGTTTGTAACATTGCCTTCACTTGGATCAGCTGCTCACCTCCGTTTCTTTTTTTCCAGTTGGCTATATCATGCCTGTCCTCGGTCCTGTCCATGGACTTCAAATCCAGTGAGCTGGAAATCGGCGTCGTGACCAAGGAAAATCCGAAGTTCAGGTATCTTCATTCAGACCTACAGTTGTAGGAGTTGTATAGTGAATTTACACTAATGATGATGGAAGCGTTATCTTTTTACATTATTGTGTATTTCTTCTTGTTTTGGTTTTAATTCTTTAATTCTTTTAGAGCCCAATATAAGCTAATTGCAGATAATTCAGTGTTTATAACAGCCCATAAATGACAGTTAAAAAAGAAACAGAGAGATGGATGACAGATCATTCAATCATGTTATGAGTGTTGTCATTGCACAGTTCGTTCACCAGAGGGCACTCTGCAACTCTCCGGTTGGCAACACACAAACACCGCAATCAGCTGGCATAATCAGCTGCACTTTTGTTCGAAGTAATATTATAACAATAAAAAGAGTTTATTTTTAAAGGGACAATATGTATGAGCAGTATGAGGGAGCATAATCCGAAACACATTCGCTTTCATACAGAAATCCCGCAATAAACGCAGAAACACTGGCATGCCGACTGGGCTGTGGCTTCTCACACAGACATGTTCAGGCTCTGTTACTACCAAGCTGCATATTGGCACAATACTCCTGAAAAAAAAGGCAGTGTGACAGCGGCTATAGACAGACAGGGAGACAGCTTCGCACAGCATGCTGTAAACTCCCACTGCAACGCTACAGTAATAATTTTTATCAGCTTAACGTTGAACTAATCAATGCTTGTTACATGACAATGGTACATTTACTGCATTTAGCGTGATACAACTGCGTTAGCTCGCCTGTCTGCTTTTCAGTAACTAAAATTACTATTAGTGTATCTTTCACCGGAGGCTCAGCAATGTCAACACATCTAACTAACATAGATTGAATGATAATGAAACGGTTAGTGAGCTGGACTGAACATTATAATGAGATTGTTGTCACACTTTATGACAGTTAGACAAATATGGGTAATAAGGGTCGCGTTTGTAAATTAATGTGGACAGCCGTAACATTTCTACTACTACATACTGTATTATATATTGCAATGCACCTGATTCCAGTTTGGCCTGACAGGCACATAAAACTTTATTGTTGTTTTGTATCCTTAAGTGGAGTCTATATTGGAGTCTGTGTTGTGCTGGGAGGCGGTTGTTTTATGGTGTGAGTGGACTGCATTTTGTTAGCTGTGGTGTTGTCGATTTAGTTGGAAAGAGGCTCGGGAGCCCGCGCAGGGCTTCATCCCGACCCAGTTCCTTCACGTTAATAGCAGAAAAGTGGCTGTTCCAAGCAACAGAGAAAACAGGCGTGTGCTTCATTTCTAAGTGATGTTAGAGCCCACTGACAATAAGGCAATGAAAATGTGATTTATTAATACGTGATTGTATTGAAAAACTATATTTAGCCCCTTTAAACTGCATTATGTCAAGTTATCTTGGTGAGGTCTCGTAACTACACATAACAAATGTTAGGGACAATATTTGTTTATGTTGTGTTTCTGAAAAGAAGGAAAGAAAAGAATATTGGCCAATTTATTTCGGATTTTAAAATCCTAAAATATCGAAATCAGTCTAAAAACTTCCATATCGGTTGAGCCCTATTTTCTTTTCTCTCCTTATTCTTTATTTTATTCCTCTTTCCTCTAGTTGTTAATCCCTTTTTACCTTTTTTCCCTCATCCTCCCGCAGGACGCTGTTGGAAGAAGAGATAGAAGCCCACCTGGTTGCCATAGCAGAACGAGAGTAAAGATGCCCTCACAAACTTCAGACCGTGATTCATCATAGTATTTTCATTTTCACTGTGCTTGAATTAGCCCAATTTAACAACACTGTTAGCAACCGTCTGAAGACAAAAGTACACAATCTTTAGTTGTGTGTCTGGGGAGGTTAACCATGCACACCTGAAGGAGAAACTAAGTGTTTCATCAGACATTTCCTCTGGGCTCTTTTCTTTTGTTCAGCATACCAACGCAAGTAGCACAACGTTTAAAGTCCAATCTGGCACATTAAAACCATCTTCAGTGAACAACACAAACAACACTTTCCACCTTAATACTTTACAACATATTTCCATGTTTGAAATACAAATGTTTTTGGATGCTGGTTATTTCATATGACTCCTGCTGATTTTGTTTGGATGTGTACAGAATATTTGTCATACTGTACGTTTATAACACCAGCCTTGCTGTCAGCTCCACACTTGTAAAGTTGAAATAAAAAATGTCCAATATACTTATTGTGAACCCCATTAAAACCATAATAAATTTGAATAGAAAAGACTATAAACACTGTCCTGTTTTGCATTAAATTAAATAATTAAGAAAGTGTATGGACTTTTATCACTAAAATGGATTGATAAGGTTTATTTCCCAAATGTTGCAAAATATCCTGTTTAAACGCCATTCCCTTGTTGAACAGCAGATGGCATCAGTGAGGCGATAACGTGCCTGCAGTTGGTCTCCTTGTTGCTGGCTGGTAGCAGGTCAGTTCACTGGTCTAGAGGGCAAAGACGGGACTGAATAGAACTTATTCCAACAAATAATATTGTGGATTTGGAAATGATATTCATAAAGGGATAAATAACAAATAGTATTTTACTTTTACAATTATGCTACTTTCAGCAGCAATGATAGTAGTAGTAAGTTAAACCGAAATGTGTCATGTCCACACTGCTGGCTCCCCAGTTCTGTACTGTCAATCACCCGTTATGTCCACTGTACTGTAGGTTATCCTGAGTTACTTTATGTGACTGCCACTAGATGGCAATGCTGGGTTTGCCTCTGCCTTCCTCTGAGTATGTCATAACAGAAACCGAACATGTTTCTGTGTGTACTTTTCTATTTAGGGAAACCTATTTTGACTCTTGGAAACAATTAAATTCCAAGTCTTCAGAGATTGCGTGCGTGAGCGAGTCAGACAGCCAATCCTAGCACGACATCTTGTATGTTTGTGTGTATCTATCGCTCTGAGTTTCCACCGTAGTGACCCATCAACCTGAGGATGCGGATCACTGTCCCATTCAATTACTGAATGCTACTTGCAATCTGAATGTATAAGCATGTCTGTGCACACACACTTTCTCACTTGTACATGAGCATATATAGTGACAGAGAACAGCAACGAGAGTCTGCTTTTATTTATTATTAATTTATTAGATGGAAGGTAACACATTGCAGGAAACATGAAACATGAACCAAAAACTTTTTCCACTCTTACTTACCTGCAAGGCATGGGGCGAGGCATTATGTGAATACGAGTCTTACAACTTATTATACAGCCTTTCTGTTTATTTGTGATAGTGAAGGTAAATCTAAAGATTACAGGAGTTGCCCAGAATTCAGTGCTTACTCTACACTTGCAGTATGTGATAGACATACATGTTAAAATTCAGCAGGTTTGGGGTCCCATTTTCATAATCATTTTAAAAGGTAATAAAATTTTAGGGTCTGACAAGCCACAATTCACTTCATTCTCACTTCTGGGGCTGAGTAGAGGTATAGTTAAATAGTGGATTCTTAGTTTGTTTGCAGACAGAATTAGGATTTAGACTGAGAGGCTTGTAGTAGTGATTCAGTGAGAGCAGCAAAAAGCCCTGCTAGTCTACTTAAAGCTGTGCAAGACGATCCAGCCAAGTTACAGGCCTCGTAGGCTGTAACAGCCATTCTGATGGGTAAAGCCAATACATTACCATGAGTAAAATACATGTACAAATACATACAGTACACTTAGCATATTTGTTTTCAGGTGTATTCACAGAATCAACAGGATATTGTTAAAAGTAAACTGGCCTTCTGAATACAATGAAAGAGACCTGGGAAGAAGGTGTTTGGTTTAACTGGAGACTTGAAGCTGCTCCTGTCTCATGTTTGTCTCTCCATCCTCATGGCTGACACTGCATGCACATGAAAAGCTGGAAAAACACACAAAAAAAGGAGACTTTTTAGGACATGCAGAAAAAAACATGGAAGACAGATCCAGAAATCAGTTTTCAGTAATCATGCAAGCCACAGCAATCAGGTCACCATGTTGTTACAGGGATCCAAGTGATGGTCATGAAGTTGGACGTACTGTATGTTGTTTTTCAGGTCATGTAGAGATGTCATGTTAGATGCTTCTTCATCCACATACCTGACCCAACTAGCCTATTTACCTGACAGGAGGAAGATATCACAGTTGGAAAAGCTCAGGTGTGAATAATAAAATTACTGATGGCTGAATTCTGTTTAGCTGCTTCAGTTTCTGGGTCCTGTTATTGTGTAAGCAGGATCGCCGCCACACTGCCATGGCGTATTGGGGCACTTGAATAGAACAGGGCCATTGTTAAGATTATTAGTAAGACATGTCTTTCCTATTGTGACAAGGCAAAATGTCTGCTCTGAAAAGGCCAGTTGTCAGGTGCTACTGAGGCCTTGTCAAACATAAAAAACAACAACAAGGTTTTTGGAAGTTGTAACATTAGTTACTAGATAGTTCTTATAAAATTAAAGTGTCTGTAGTGCAACCATGCTAACAATGGTGTTCCAGCACACGGCAACCTTTTGATAATATAATGTTAATTTTTAATTTTAAGATAAATTTATTCATGTCTCTTGTGGAAACAAAGTCTCTGTTGGTTTAAGACCCGACACGTTTGTCTCCTTTTTAGGAAGAACTTAAGGAGTCGCACACAAACCCTGCCACACTTATTATTTAACTACTTACTCACATACTTGAATCTGCAATAACTGATTTCTTGGCCACGCGTGGGCAGCTGAAACAAGAAGTTGAAGTGAAGTTGATATCTTGTTAGCTCTGTCTAACTTCCATTTGGTGTGGAGCAGGCAGTGTTTTAAAGTTGGCTGTTGCTGCCAGAAACCACACAACGAGAGTGGTGAGAGTGAACCTAAACAGTAAAATTTCACTTCGCAGAGCAATGAGCAAGAACTAGCATTAAAGCTACATAAAGCTGCGGCTTCAGGCGATAATTCTGTGTAGCTTTATCACTATGAGTGACCCCTTTCTCATTTAATATATTATAGTAAAAATTTTGATTATATCAGCTTTCAATTCTAGAAGTTCTCATCTTTTCGCTCTTGGCATTGTTTTTATTATGTTAATCACTAACATGTACGTTGACAGTCTCCTTTAATTCAATGTGACTCCAAGTCCTGCTTTTTTAATTTTATATATATTTATATTGTTATATATACCTGGGGGCACTAGCTGAATGCAGTTAACTGCAGTCAATTATTTTGGCTCTTACTTTAACACATTTTCTTTGTCTAATATCAAAATTATGTCAGTAATATACTGATTTAAGTGGGGGGTGGTTCCGCTTCATTGTGCTTACTCTATCTACCAAACTTACACACCTTCCTAATATGCACTTTTTACCTTCCTCTCCTCACATCCCCATGTCCATCTCCCCCATGGCTGTGCTTTTCCTCCTCTACCTCACCCATTCACCCACTCCATTTATAGCAATTCTCTTCTCCCAAACCGTTATCCCTCCCTAAATCCTAACCTTCTACTACCTCTGTCACCTTAGCCTCCCTATTTCTGCTTCTCTATCTGCTCTTGCCTCACCTCTACCACTACCTGCACCTGTTAACCTCCTCCTCACCCAAAGTCTTCAGACTCCTACTCCACCACACCACATTTTCCTTCCTCTCCGCCCATTCCTCCCTCCCCCTTTATGAAATGTTGACCCTGTGGCTGGTGTCTCCTGGTACTGGGACTGCCTGCCAAGCTGAATGGGCCCTGTGCATCGGGTAGCCAAGCTGTATGTGTGTGTGTGTGTGTGTGTGTGTGTGTTGGGTCACGGCGTGGGGATTAGGTGTGTGTGAGTGATTGAGGGTGACAGCGGCCCTAGCATTAGGGGCCCTGTGGCAGATTTCGTAGTCCTGTTTTAGACACACTAAGCTGGATTTACCAGCAGCAGTGTGTCAGCATTGATGCAGCCTGCTTGGACCTCCTACAGAACACACACACACACACACACGAATACACACACACACAAGCACACCTTGTCACCTCTGACCCTACCTATCCACCTGTAACCAGTCTCACCGTCCCATCACCCCTTTGTGTCTGTGTAGTTCTTCTCTTCATCTCTCCCGGTAACAGTTCAATTTCTAATTTAATTAAGCTTGTTTCAGTCTTTTTCACACTACAGTAAATATCCATGTGTAATATATATATATATATATATATACATTCAGACCACTGTAGCATGCAGTAGGCATCACCCCCCACCCTTACCCCAAAACAAACATTCGGGCCCGTTCTCACTAGCATCTATTACAGCAAAACTTTGCACACAATCCAATTTATTTTAATGGAATGACTTCAATCCATGGATTCCCTTAATGACAGTAAAGTAAATCTAAGTGCAACTTAATTTGGGGAACTTTCATGTGAATTTTCATCATCAAAAGGTCTTAACATTACTGGCATTTGAAGAGGCGCTCACAGAGGAGAGTCACTTTGTGTGTGTGTTCAACGCAGAGGGGTATGTGAAGCCATTGTGGCCCCCCGTGTCTCCACACACACGCATCGATGCTTGATTGTGTGTTTCTTTGTGTGACTTGTGCACTCCGAATGTTTATATGCACACCTTTGTCCGTGTGTGTTTGTGTGTGCACCGGTGTGTGTGCTTGCTCCCAGATCTCTGTTACAGCATGTCCATTGTGAAGGAGAGTGTTGAGCAAGATCCTGACCCACCGGCGGGTACTAATCAGACACATTCCTCGGGATTAAACAGCCAATTAACAATAAGAGAGCCATTGTGGCCCTGTCTCCTTGTGCGTCACAGTTAAAAGGTTTTGTGTGTGTACGTGTCGCAGTGAGTGCATGTGTGTGACTCTATTTATGTGTGTGAGTGCATGTGCTTATGTGTGTGTAAGGTGCTTATGGTCATGCAAAAAGCACTCTTTGTGATTTTCTACCAGCATGTTGCACTTCTGTGTTAACATGCTCACTATAGCTTCATAAAAAAAAAGATTACAATTAAATTTTGTGCAATTTAAAACAAACTCATGCTGTGAATAGAGTGAGAGATGGAGCATTATGGCTCCTGCATGCCAAATAGTGGCTGCAAGTCACAAGATGCGTGTGTACATGTGTGCCTGACAGAATGCTGCACTTTGCAAGTTAATCCCAGGTTTGTTCAGGCACCAGTGGCAAGTCCACCTGTCCTTTATACATTTACATAGTAATGCAGATAATATAATAAACATTCTACTCTAGTCTGTTAACTGGTATATGCATTTGTGTGCTGCTGTGCATGTAGTGTGTCTGTCGTGTGG